GGCGGGGGCGATGCGTCACTGACCGGTGAGGCGCGGCTGAGGGGTCGCGGTTCTCCTGGTGCCCGGGGCCAAGGCGGTCCCCAGTCGGAGCCTTCTGCTAGGGAAGCCGGGGAAAGGGTGTCACGACGTGCACCGAGCCGGGGCCGCGGGCGCGGGGGTTGGCGAGGGGAGCGTGGGGCCGGAGCGCGGGGCTTCCCGCCTCAGCCCGCGACCGTCCGCGGTCTCTTCCCGGGGTGGGCACTGAGGGTCCTCTCCTTGCCCTGCCCAGAAGGAACGAGGATGAATATGACTCAAGCCCGTGTGCTGGTGGCCGCGGCGGTGGGGCTGGTGGTGGTCCTCCTCTACGCCTCCATCCACAAGATCGACGAGGGGCACCTAGCCGTGTACTACAGGTGAGCGCCCTGCGGGGCAGCGCAGCTTCCCGAGAGGAGACCGGGTTCGAGGGTCACCGTGGGATCTGGCAAGGTGCTCCCTCCGCGGCGGCTGGCGAGCGCTTCCACCCCTAGGAAGCGCTTTCCTCCCAGCTGTTGGTAGTAACCTTTGGCCGGGCACCTTTCAGGAGGCGGCCAGGTTAGTGCCAAGTTCGTTTTGGACAGAGGTGGGGACTCCTGAGGAGGGAAGGGAGTAGTCCCTGCCACCAAGATGACTAATTCCAACTCGTAATAGTCCGAATAGGTGTTTCGTCTGCTGTCGATGGTTTTCGGGATCTCGCTAAGTTTTTTTCCCTTCTTCATTAAAAACCTCCCAGGATCTGGTTATGGCTCCCAAAGTCTTAATGACCATAACAGTGCTATGTCCTAAAGAGACAAATATCTCCTTTCTCACTTTTTCCAAGCCAAGGTGAGGAAGAGTGTGGGCCATATTGCCGTCTGGTTGATTTGGCATAGCTTTTCTTCGATATAAAAATTACCTCCAGCTCCTTTTGGTATAGACTGATAAGAGAAGCCAGTTTTGTGGAGAAGTCGTGATAGTGGTTTATTCAGAAAAAAAGCAGATTTTTGGTTTTTTCCATCACCCCCCCCAAAAAAAAAACCCTGGGATTTCTACTTTTGGATCCATTCCGAATCGTAGAAAAAGTACAATTTTAGTGGTATGTCTTAACAGATGGAATTCTAGCATAAGAAATGCTAGCTTGGATCACATTTCTGTCTAGTTTGTCAGTGTCCTTCCAACAGGAAAACCACAAAGAGAATATATCGGGATACCACTCCCCCCAAAATAAGTGAGGAACCTGAAACAGTCCATCTTTTTAACTATGACTTTCAAACCTGTTTGTATATTCATTAATGTGTGGATTTACTGTTCGTTGTGTAAAATAGGATTTTTTGATATATTTGTGCCTAAACCCCTAAACCCCTGCTCTTCGTAATTTCCAAGGGGTGTTTTTATAGTTCAGGTATTCCAGAATTAGATGCACCAAGTCTTCCTCACCTATACTCCCAACCCTCTTGCCATCCATCTTTTCATTGCTATTTTTTGTTGCCTTTATACAGAAACTCTGTTCCCAGGATTTTAATGATGTATTAAAAAAAGAAAACACATTAACCGTAGAAATTTTCTTCTTCCTTGAAAGCTTATGTTTTCCTCCTTTTTTAAACTTGGTGATTAAATGTATTGTTTTGACTTGGCCTCCTGTTATGTGCAATTAAGGTGCCTTAATTGAGAGTCATTAGAATTTTTCCATAAGTATTTGTCAGAAGCTAAAGACCAGAGAGGATTTTTGAGCCCAAGAGCAGTGCTAGAGACTCAGAGGTGGTTGGTGGAGCTTACGAAACAAGGTGCAACATTGGCAGTTGACGTTGATGCGTTTTCACCTTTCTAAGGGTGGGGGATATTTTAAGGAGCGTTGTTCATGTTGAGTAACTCTTTCTTGGCACTAGTAGATTAGTAACTTGAGTAATAATAAATGTTTATTATAGCATTTTGGAATTGGAAAGAGAATTTCTTTTATTTACAGTTTTGTCAACTGAACTATCTTTTTGCAGGGGAGGAGCTTTACTAACTAGTCCCAGTGGGCCAGGTTATCATATCATGCTGCCTTTCATTACTACGTTCAGATCTGTGCAGGTGAGTGATTCCTAGGGCTTCCAGATAGACAGGTGTGACAGGAGTTGCTGCACTGTGGGTGGATTTCCTTATTGCTTAAGCAAATGTTGGTATTTACTTAAATATGGAATGAAAGTTCAGAGTACAACTGTCACGGCACAAATAATGATTTCGAACCACTTACTTTGAAATGAAAGTGTGGACGAGGCAGCTTGTCAAGACTGACTTCTGCCGTCTGTATAATGGTATTAGCATATTTTCTGTTACTTCAGTCAAAATAAAAGTAAGAATTCAAAACATAATTAGAAGTACAAATCAGTGATTACTTGGTTTAAGACTTTTTGGTTTCCAGAGAGGCAGGCTCCTAGGCTACTGTTAACATGGAGGAATGAATTTTTATAACAGCTTTTGTATATAAAAACTCACAGTTTTGCCTGGTACATTAAACACAAATTTATGAGGAACCTAAGTGAATGTGGTACTTTGACAGCATTTCAGATTATTTGAAATAAGTATCTGATTCTTGTATAAAGTATCTTGGCTATAGGACATCTTTAATAAATGTAGTTTGATAAAACAAGATGGCAAAATAGAATTGGGCTCTAGCTAATTTTGCAAACTCAATGATCATAAATCTTTGAATTCAATTTTTTCTACCATCTACTGCAGATCAGGAAACAGGGAAAGTCAATGTCGTTAACATTACCACTTAAATTTTCAGCTTTCTGCTAAATGAGAGTGATTGTGAATCTCAAACTCTCCCAGGTTTCTTTCCTGTGCCTTTCTGGGCTAGGGAAGAGCTCTGCTTTTAAAGAGAAACCTGGAGGACATGGTGCTCTCTCCCTAGTCACAACGGTTTCCAGATTGGCTTCTCATATTTTAGTCAGACTTGTAAGGTTTTTTTTTTTAAATTTAAAACCATATTTCATGTGTAGCAATACAGTTTACATACTAAACAGCACTGTGATAGAATGAATTGATATAGTTTTTAAAAAAGGAAAACAGGAAATGTTTTAGGTTATGAGACCTCTCCCCTAGAAGAGAGTGTTTCTATTGCTTTGTGCCCTCATGGCAGATGCATCAGTGACTAGCATTGTATCATTCCTGCTGTACCTTTTACTCTTTCATGCATTGGCTAATGTTGTCATTCTTTGTTTACCATCCCTTCCTCTTTTCTGGCCTGCCCTAATCTTGCAGCCTTTCTTTAGACTCCTCCCAGTTTCTTTTCTCTCCTGATGTTAGCTCACTAGCAACTTTTAACAGTCTTTTTTAAATTATTTTTTATTTTTATTATTTTTGTTTCTTTTATTATTTTATTACTTTAGCAAATACCAATCCAAATTCCCATGCCCTTCCCCCCTCCCACTCCCCTACCACTCCCTCTACACACCTTCCCACCCAACCCTTTCCAATCCTAAGAGAGGGCAATGTACCCCGCCCTGTGGTAAGTTCAAGGCCTCCCTACTACTTCTAGGTTGAGCAAGGTATACATCCAAAGAAACTAGGATCCCAAGAAGCCAGTACATGCAGTAGAGACAAATCCCAGTGTCACTATCAGTGGCCCCTAAGTCTGCCCCAACTGTCAACCACATTCAGAGGGACTAGTTCGTTCACGTGCTCGTTCACTCCCAGTCCAGTTGGAGTTGGTGAGCTCCCATTAGCTCAGGCAAACTGTCTCAGTGGGTGAACCCCTCATGGTCTCAACCTCCTTGCTTCTTGCTCATATTCTCACTCCCTCCACTCTTCAACTGGACCTTGGGAGCTCAGTCTAGTGCTCCGATGTGGGTCTTTGCCTCTGTTTCCATCTGTTGTTGGATGAAGGTTCTATGGTGATATTTAAGATAATCATCAGTCTGACTACAGGGCAAGGCCAGTTCAGGCCCCCTCTCCTCTGTTGCTTAGGGTCTTAGCTGGGGTCATCCTTGTGGATTCCTGGGCATTTTTCTAGAGCCAGGTTTCTTGCTAACCCCATAATGGCTCCCTAAATCAAGATATCTCTTTGTTTGCTCTCATATCTGTCCTTCCTCCATCTCGACTATCCCATTCCCTCAAATTCTCCTCAACCCTCCTCTTCTCCCCTTCCTTCTACCTCATGCTCCCAAATTTTGTCTGATGATCTTGTTTCCAATTTCCAGGTGGGTTTCTATATGTGTTTCTTTGGGTTCACCTTATTATTTAGCTTCTCTAGGATCATGAACTATAGGCTCCATGTCCTTTGTTTATGACTAGTATTCACTTATGAGTGAGTACATACTACATTCATTCACCATATGAATGAGGTCTGGGTTACCTCACTTAGGATAGTGTTTTCTAATTCCATCCATTTGCATGCAAAATTCAAGATGTCACTGTTTTTTACCGCTGACTAGTACTCTAATGTGTAAATGTGCCACATTTTCTTTATTCATTCTTCAGTTGAGGGGCATCTAGATTGTTTCCAGGTTCTGGCTATTACAAATAATGCTGCTATGAACATAGTTGAACAAATGTCTTTGTAATATGATTGGGTATCTTTTGGGTATAGTCCCAAGGGTGGTATTGCTGGATCCTGAGATAGGTTGATTCCCAGTTTTCTGAGAAACTGCCACACTGATTTCCAAAGTGGTTGCAGAAGTTTGCATTCCCACCAGCAATGGATGAGTGTTACCCTTACTCCACATTCTCTCCAGCATAAGCTATCATTAGTGTTTTTTATCTTAGCCATTCTGACAGATATAAGAACATATATCAAAGTTGTTTTGATTTGCATTTCCCTGATAGCTAAGGAAGTTGAACATGTCCTTAAGTATCTTTTGGCCATTTGAAATTTTTCTGTTGAGAATTCTCTGTTTAGTTCAATACACCATTTTTTAATTGGGTTATTTAGAATTTTAATGTCTAATTTCTTGAGTTCTTTATATATTTTGGAGATCAGTCCTTTGTCTGATGTGGGGGTGAAGATTTTTTTCCCATTCAGTAGGTTGCCTTTTTGTCTTATTGACTGTGTCCTTTGCTTTACAGAAGCTTCTCAGTTTCAGGAGATTCCATTTATTTATTGTTGCTCTTATTGTCTGTGCTGCTGGGGTTATATTTAGGAAGTGGTCTCCTCTGCCCGTGCATTGAAGGCTACTTCCCACTTTCTCCTCTATCAGGTTCAATGTGGTCAGATTTATATTGAAGTCTTTAATTCATTTGGACTTGAGTTTGGTGCATGGCAATAGATATGGATCCATTTTCATTCTTCTACAGGTTGACATCCAGTTATGCCAGCACCATTTGTTGAAAATGCTTTTTTCCCCCATTGTATAATTTTAGCTTCTCCCCCCATTGTATAATTTTAGCTTCTTTGTCAAAAATCAGGTGTTCATAGGTGTGTGAATTAATATCTGGGTCTTCGATTCAGTTGGTCAACGTCTCTTTATGCCAATACCAAGCTATTTTCATTACTGTAGCTCTATAATAAGAGCTTGATGTCAGGGATGGCAATGCCTCCGGCAGTTCCTTTATTATACAGGATTGTTTTGGCTATCTTGGGTTTTTTGTTTTTCCATATGAAGTTGATTATTGTTCTTTCAAGGTCTATGAAGAATTGTGTTGGGATTTTGTTGGGGATTGCACTCAATCTATAGATTGCTTTTGGTAGGATTGCCATTTTTACTATGTTGATCCTTCTATCTAAGAGCATGGGAGATCTTTCCATTTTCTGGTATCTTCTTCAGTTTCTTTTTTCAAAGACTTAAAGTTCTTGTCTTTCACTTCTTTGGTTAGTGTTACCCAAAGATATTTTATGTTATTTGTGGCTATTATGAAAGGTGATGTTTCTCTGATTTCCCTCTCAGCTTCTTTATCCTTATGTAAAGGAGGGCTACTGAGTTTTTTTGAGTTGATCTTATATCCTGCCACATCACTGAAGGTATTTATCAGTTGTAGGAGCTCTCTGGTAGAGTTTTTGGGGTCACTTATGTAAACTATCTTATCATCTGCAAATTATGAAAGTTTGATTTCTTCCTTTCCAATTTGAATCCCCTTGATCTCCTTATGTTGTCTTACTGCTGTTGCTAAAACTTCAAGAACCATGTTGAAGAGGTATGGAGAGAGTGAACAGCCTTGTGTTGTTCCTGATTTTAGTGGAATTGCTTTGAGTTTCTCTCCATTTAGTTTGATGTTAACTGTTGGCTTCCTGTATATTGCTTTTATTATATTTATATATGATCCTTTTATCCCTAATCTCTCCAAGACCTTTATCATAAAGGGGTGTTGAATTTTGTCAGATGCTTTTTCAGCATCTATTGAGATGATCATGTGTTCTTTTTTCTTTTCAGTCTATTTGTATGATGGATTACATTGATAGATTTTTGTGTGTTGAACTAGCCTTGCATTTCTGGGATGAAGCCTACTTGATCATGATGGATGATTTTTTTTTATGTGTTCTTGGATTCGGTTTGCCAGTATTTTATTGAGAATTTTTGCATCCATGTTCATGAGTGAGATTGGTCTGTAATTCTCTCTTGGTTGAGTCTTTGTGGGGTTTTGGTATCAGGGTTAACTGTAGCCTCATAAAAAGAGTTTGGCATTGACCCTTCTGTTTTTATTATGTAGAACATTTTAAGGAGTATAGGTATTAGCTTTTCTTGAAAGTTCTGGTAGAATTCTGTACTAAAGCCATCCGGCTCTGGGCTTTTTTTGGCTGGGAGGTTTTTGATGATGGCTACTATCTCCTCGTAGCTTATAGGTCTATTTAAATTGCTCACCCGGTCTTGATTTAATTTTGGTATATGCTATCTATTTAAAAAATTGTCCATTTCTTTTACATTTTTCAATTTTGTGGAGTACAGATTTTTGTAGTAGGATCTAGTGATTCTCTGACTTTCTTCATTGTCCGTTGTTATGTCCCCCTTTTCATTTCTGATTTTGCTAATCTGGATGCATGCTCTCTGCCTTTTGATTAGTTTGGATAAGGGTTTGTCAATCTTACTGATTTTCTCAAAGAACCATCCCTTTGTTTCATTGATTCTTTGTATATTTTTCTGTGTTTCTATTTTGTTGATTTCAGCCCCCAATTTGATTATTTCCTGTCTTCTACTCCTCCTGGGTGAGTCTGCTTCTTTTTTTCTAGAGCTTTCAGGTGTGCTTTTAGGTCGCTAATGTGAGCTTTCTCCATTTTCTTGATATGGGCACTTAGTGCTATGAACTTTCCTCTACTGCTTTCATGGTATCCCATAGGTTTGGATGTGCTGTGCCTTCATTTTCATTGAATTCAAGGAAGATTTTAATTTCTTTATTTCTTCCTTGACCCAGGGGTGGTTCAGTAGTTGACTATTCAGTTTCCATGAGTTTGTAGGCTTTCTGGGGATAGTATTGTTGTTGAATTCTAACTTTACTCCATGGTGATCTGATAAGACACAGTGGGTTACTCCAATTTTTTTGTATCTGTGGATGTTTGCTTTGTTACCAAGTATGTGATCAATTTTAGAGAAGGGTTCATGAGGTGCTGAGAAGAAGGTATATTCTTTTTTATTTGGGTGGAATGTTCTATAGATGTCTGTTAAGTCCATATCATTCAGTACATCTGTTAGTTCTCTTATTTCTCTGTCTGGTTGACCTGTCCTTTGGAAAGAGAGGAGTGTTGAAATCTCCCACTATTAGTGTGTGGGGTTTGATGTGCTATTTAAGTTTTAGTAATGTTTCTTTTACATATGTGAGTGCTCTTGTATTAGGGACATAGATATTCAGGATTGAGATTTCATCTTGATGAATTGTTCCTGTTACGAGTATAAAGTGTACATCTCCATCTCTTCTGATTGATTTTAGTTTCTCTTAACACTCTTGAAGTTAGCAAGAGCATCATCAGACTCAGAGATTGAGGTCTTTTTAGGTCTTGTTCAAGGCCAGGTAAATCTGTCTCTGCCTTCCTGAAACTCACTGTTAAGTATGGTGCAGCAATAATATAAAGTATATATTAACAATAATAGTAAATAGATTTTTAAATTATATGTACATAGCAAATATACTGTGTATTGGTGTTTCAATTACATGTATGTCTATATGAGGGTGTCAGAAGCCCTGGAACTTGAAGTTACAGGTAGGTGTGAGCTGCCATGTAGGTACTGGGAATTGAACTCCAGTCCTCTGGAAGAGTAGCCAGTATTCTTAACTGCTAAACCATCTCTCTAGCCCCTTAAGAAGCTGAAACTTTTCTTAAGAAGAGTTATAAATATGTGTTTTGGGAATTGGGGAACATATTAAAAGATGCAGTTGTATTTAAACAAATGGTTTAACAAAATTAATAATTGAAAGGACTAATATGCGAGAATGTGAAATCCCATGTATAAGGTATGGAGACAAAGCAGTGCTTAGAGAAATTATATAAAATCTTCAGCCTTTATTTACTTTATAAAGTAAGCATTCACTTTTCCCCTCTTCTGTTCTTTTGTGACATGGACTACTGTGTAGCCAAGGCTGTTCTAGAATTTGCTACCTATACTAAAGCCAAACTTTCTTTCCAGTTTCCCAAGGGATATGATTACACATGTGTGCCACCGTAATATTTTTTTTCATATTGGAAAAATAATTAGGTGTATAGAAGTACATAGGCTGGGATATTAAACTGAAAAGTTATTAACTCCTAGTTTTTCTTGTTTTGAAAGTTGGTACAGAATAGTGAAAATTGCCTTAGTTTAATGCTTTGAAAGAAATAAAATATACTGAACTCATTTATCAACCTTTTCCCCTCACTTTGTCTAGAATTATCTCTACTATTACCATCATGCTAGTTTTTCAACCATTTTATACTTTCTGTGCTGAAATTGTATATTCAACCAATGATGACATCTTTCATTATTTCTCCAGGATTGACATCTTTCAGTTTTCACGACCTTATTAACTTACCCTAGACAAGTTACTTCTTTAGCTTCCTGGTTTTCTTGCCTCTCAGAAAGCTGAATAACAACTGTATAACATAATCAAAGGAATTAAGGAAAACACCTTTTTCCCCTCCAGTGCTAAGAGGTTAACCCTAGGGCATAAGCCCAGAGCCTTGAGCATTCTAGGCAAGTCTCCACCATTGAGCCTGTATCTTTTGTGTTTTCTTTTCCCAGATTAGACCTTGCTAGTTTCCAAGGTAGTGTGGAACTTGCACTCCTCCCACCTCAGCCACCCACATAGCTGGGATTATAGATTTCCATGACCACTTGGACCTCTGACAATTTTTTTGAAAGGTTCATTTTATGATTATATATAATAATAATGTAATTTATTATATATACGATTATATATAATATAACATATTATATATAATATATATAATATAATAGTATATATGATTATATATATAAAGAGTACCTAAACTGTTTACCAAATATTCAAGGCCTTCGGTCTAATATCCCTGTGTTCTTTTCCTCGAATTTACCACTCATCTGGGTATTGCCTTCTGCTTCAGGCAAACCAGCCTGCTTTGGGTTTGTACTTGTGTCTTCTGTAGTATGTATTTGAATAGTACATTAATTGAATGTAAGATGTTTCTTTTAAGTTCTTATTTCTCCACTTCTAGATTTGTCTTGTTCGTTTGTTTTTCTTTTTATGATTTTTCAAGACAAGATTTCTCTGTAGCTTTGGAACCTGTCCTGAAACTAGCTCTTGTAGACCAGGCTGGCCTCGAATTCAGAGATCAGCCTACCTCCGCTTCCTGAGTGCTGGGATTAAAGACATGTGCCACCACCATCCGGCTGTTTTGTTGAGCCTGGGTCTCTCTGTGTCGCCGTGGCCGTCCTGGAACTTGCTTTGTAGATCAGGCTGGCCTTGAACTCAGATATCTACCTGCCTCTGCCTCTGAGTGCTGGGATTAAAGGTATGTGCCACTACCACCTGACTAGAATTTTCTATTAATACTTTCAGAGATCTTTTAAATTTTTTTTTAATTTATGTGTATTTGTGTACACCTACTTGTCTGTGCACCATATACTATGGTGTCTGCAGAGACCAGAAGAGAAGTTGAATGTTCTGGAATGGGAGTTACAGGCAGTTGTGAGCCACCCTATGTGGGTTCTAGAAACCAAACCCAGGTCCTTTGAAAGAATGTTAAATAATTTTAACTGCTGAGCTCTCTATCTCTCTTAAGAACTTTTAAGACTGGTATTTCATTCCTTGTAACAAACAGTACCTAAGAGCTCAAATTATAATGTTATTTTTGTACCTACTGGTATTTTTTAATATAATTTTATTTCCTATGCTAGATTGTGACTATTAGGTAACAGGGGCCATGTTCCATAAAATAGCATATTTTGTGTGCTTAATAAGGTGTATTGTGTCCAGAATATACGGCTGACCTATTTGAAACTTTAGCATACACAATAAGAGGTCATTCTGATACAAAGGTAGGTGTGATGTGGCAAAGTAATTAAGAACCAGATTATTGGTTCACTAAGGAGGAAGCAATGTTGGTGTTGGCACTTACATTAAAAGGCAAGCTGAACAGAACATGTGAGAAAACAGTAGGTCCTGAATGAAAGCAGTGACTATAGGTTCAACTTTGCTATTGAGTTCAAGGGCAGCTTTCATAAAGTTCTTGTGTGTGAAAATAGTTACTCACCACCAGTATAAAGAGTAATAGTGAGGAATCCAAGTTCAGAACACAGACCTTAGTCAGAGTGTCACTTGTGAGTGAGCTGTGCAGTTTGCCATCTCAAGCCAGGTCTAGGCAATAAGACACTTAAGGAAAAATTTTCTGCCTACTAGTCCATAAAACATTGAATATTTCTTAGTGCATTTTGAGTCCAACCTTCCTCATAAGACATGTGGTACTCAAGTCTTTATAGATTGTAACATGAGGGGCTGGCGTGTTGGGGTTTCTGTCCCGCCCAGTACCCCGCAGCTGGCAAATCCCAAAGAGAAAATCACACACAGGACTCCATAAGGTTATAAACTGATTGGCCCATTAGGTCAGGCTACTTATTAGCTATTATAACTTATGTTACTCCATTATCCTTATCTATGTTAGCACATGGCTCCATACCTTTCTCAGCAGGGCAAGTTACATGCTGCCTCTTCGATGGTCTGCACAGGAGTGGCAGAGGAACTTCTCTGCTTCCCAGAATTCTCCTGTTCTCATTGCATCACCTCTACTTCCTGTCTGGTTTTCCTGCCTATACTGCCTGCCTGGCCAATCAGCGTTTTATTAAAATATGATTGACAGAATACTGACAATTCTCCCGCATCAATAGATATAGAAATAGCTAACTTGATAGCTGATCTTTGGAGGCTGAAATCATTGCAGAACTCTCTTACTAGCAGCAGATCTCCAGAGATTCCTCTCTGGGATCAGCAGGGTATATTTGTTTATTTTGGTTTTTAAGACAGGGTCTCTCCTGGAGCTTACTGTGTAGATTAAACTGGCCTCAAATTCACAGAGATCCAGCTGCCTCTTTCTCAAGAGTCCTGGGATTAAAGGGGTGCAGCACTATGTCTGGCCAGATCAGCAGTGTTTTGTTGTTATTGTTGTAGATGATGTTGTCTTTTTTTTGTTGTTATTTTTCTCTATGTAACAGCCCTGACTGTCCTGGAATTTGCTCTATAGACCAGGCTGGCCTCAAACTCACAGATATTCCTACCTCTGCCTCCCAAGTGCTGGGATTAAAGGCGTGCAAGTTTTAATGAGCTATTTTTTCCTTCCCAGACGACACTACAAACAGATGAAGTTAAAAATGTGCCTTGTGGAACAAGGTAAGTTTCCTCCTTTGTGACTGACTGCCCTTTACTTACTTTATTTATTTTTATTTATTTATTTAGGGTTGTTTTTTTTTTTTGAGACAAGGTTTCTCTGTGTAACAGCTCTAGTTGTCCTGGAACTAGCTCTTGTAGACCAGGTTGGCTTTGAACTCAGAGAAATCCACCTGCCTCTGCCTTCCGAGTGCTGAGATTAAAGGCATACACCACCACTGCCTGGCTTACTTTCTTTAGTTCTAATGAAGTTTTTAGAGCAGTAGTCACTTGAGAAATGTTTGTTTTGTTTTGTTTTTGAGTCAGGCATACTCTGGTTTTATGTCCCTGGTTGGCCTGGGACTTAGTATGTAGAGTAGGCTGGCATCAAACTTGAAGCAGTCGTGCTGCCTCTGTTTCCCAAACCCCGAGATTATAGGTCTATGTCGACATACCTGCTAAGACACTTCCATGTAGTCATGACAGCAACAGAGATTTCTATGCTGTGATTTACTTGGATGAAGCTGCAAATGGGAGCATTCCATCTTAGGGTGTTAATGAAAAGATTGGAGTTTTAGACAGGCAGACAACTGTATATTAGCTTTACCACACCTGTGTTACTATTTTAATTGGCAGGAAAATGAAGCAGAAAGTATAGAGTTCACATAGTCCTTGCCCTCTGCTGATACCTTGATTAGCTTCTCTAAGCTTAGTTCCCTAAAGTCAGGGAGTAAGATCTATGTTACAGTTATTGTAAGAATTTAAATTTGAGTATGTGACCCAGAACTTGTCCCTGAATTGATGCTCAATAAAAGATTACTTAAAACAAAATCATTACTTAAAACAAAATCATTCCACTTGTTTTTATAATGTTAAATGTCCTCTAAATGAGAGTTTCTGAGTCTGTAGGTCTTTAATAGAATTTATGTTTCGAGTGAAGACCCTGAGTATGCTTTTGATCTAAAGGCCTCTAAGAATTGTTCTAAAAAGGTTGAAGGCAAGAAAGGAAATGAGACTTGGGGGGTATCACTAAAATACACTTCCTACATTAAATTTTAGTGAGGAATGTGGAGTACAAGGCCTTTTTCTTTAAATGCATAGTTTAAATGACTTATAAACTTAAAAAGATAACTTTGACATCTGTAGAGTGAAGGCGTAAGTCACAAATAATCCCACACCAGTTTGGAATTATGATTAATAGAAGGGTTATTTTTTCAAAGGGGAAAAACTTACAGATTACCGTCCCAGACACAGCCCCTCTGCGCAAACAGGAAAGGAGTCTAGGAGCCGGAAGTGGAGCTGGAAGCCAGAGAGGGAGTGAAGGACAGCCGCTGCTTTTTTAAAGAGAGAGAGACCTCGCTCCTATGGGCTGGTATCTCAGAGGCTATTGGCTGAAGGAGCGGAAGGAGCTCCCGCAGCATTTCCCCCTTTTGTTTAAGTAAGAGAGTTCTAAGCCTACTACAAAATTATATACAATAAGTACAAACCTACGAAATTATATACAGTAAGTACAAACATCCTATTCTAACTAGCTTAAATCTTGTATAATAAATAACTTGGCCAAGTCATGAGAAGTAAGTAACTACATTCATATAATCTTCAACCCCATCAAAGATCTGAGAAGGGAAATAAGGTTACCTGAGTAATTAGGAAGTGCAATCAAAAACTTCCAGAACATGTAACAACTCACAGAGACAACTGGCTACCTGGGCAATCACCCAAAGTCACGTTTGCAGCGTTGAAGCAACCAACTTTGGCTTAGGCCTAACGTAACTGACATACCATTTTCAAAGGCAAGGAACTTTTCAAAACTATCTTACCCTGTCTTGACATGATATGACAGTCCTGTTTTATCCATTTACGGATACTCTGTAACTCTGTCAGTCATTGAGGTATGAGCATTTCTTTACCTAAAGGCCTGTTCTACCAAGAAGAAAGGCTCCAGGTGGAGTGTCTTTGGTGCTCAACATTCTCTCTGGAATAGATCATTGTTGCCAGGAGTGATTGTGTCTCACTACCACAGAACTCTGAGTTAGATTAAAGGCCATTTTCTACAGCTCTTTGAAGAGGTTGGAGATTATCTATCTATACTGAATATAATCTCTATGTATCTAAAGAACCTGATTAGTCTAATTATAAATGGCAAACTTAGATAACTATTGATCTATATAATTCTCAATACCTATCTAACTTAAAGACTGAGACAATAAACAACTGTGCAATAAATGAGGACAATATGACCTCCAAATATAAACAATGTGCAAGTATACATTGCAATATGGTAAATATATATATCAATACATAAACAGTATATAAGTATCTTAATAAGAGGTAGAAGTGTACAATGCAATATGGTAAATATACATATATCAATACATAAAAATGTTTTAAACAGAGGTAGAAGCGTGCATGCATACAATAGTCAACATAATTTAACTTTGTATCAATATATAAGAATCAATACCAATATATTTGTCTAAAAACAATAACTCACAAGTACAAATCTATTATCCCGTAATCCAATTATCCCTCTTTTTTTTTTTTTAAGATTCCTGCGCTTATAAAATTCCTGCCCCAACCCTCAACCGTATACTAATTATAACCAACCCCTAAATGATGTCCCTAAACCCAAGGACAAACTTTACTGGGAGAGGGGACGTCGTTCTCTAGAATTACTTCCAGCTGTCATGGGGGCGACGTTCTTTCTGGGGGGGTCCTGTGAAAGTAAAATTATGGTTAAATTTCAAGATCACTGTTTTAAAATTGCAAATAGTCTCTTGAGTATTTTGTGGAGGTCTGGCCAGAATGTTGTACAAGATGTGCACCATTTCAGCTAACCAAGTTGGAACTGTCTTGTGCAGCTGGTACCCAAAACAGGTCTTGTAGTAGCACTATCAGTATCATGATGTCATCTCAACCAAGTAGAGTTGTTGTTATGGGGCCCCATTTTCTTCCTGGAAACTTCAAATGTCACTGCAGGAAAAACTCATTATTCATTGTGGAAAACTTAAACATTAATCATATAGACATATACAGACATACATATATTCAATGAAAGACATGATAGATATATTTAATGAAAGGTATGATAGATATGAAGAAAAGTAAAGATGTTTTCTAAACTCATATTTCTTTCTGTCCCATATCATGACTCTTGACATGAGACAGAAACTCCAGAAACTCTGGGTTTTTCTTTTAATAACAGGCTTAGAATTAGAGAGGGACTGAGCCAGAGTCCAACTCTAAAACCAGCTCTATAAATTTAGAAATATGATTTAGTATATTTTACTTACAGAACCTATTCAGCTTTCTTGATAGTCCCTATCGGACCGTTATTTTCCATCTGTTGGTATTCAAATATCCAGGGTCCCTTGAATTTTTCAAAGATGAGTGTTTTCCTGTGGAGACAAGAACAGAACCCTGCCCCCATTCTATATGTTTTTCTTACCACCTGTATGAATATCATCATTGTAGATGAGCTGTCATTTCTTCTTTCCAAGAGGTTTCTTCTCTTCAAATCGAACTTTTATTAATTTTGATGGTATCCACAATTTTTCTTCTCCTGTGGAAACAAGAGCAAAACCCCTTCCCCAATGTAGCACATCTCCTGGCTTCCATTGAGAGGTCAGCACGTCTCTGAAATAAACAAGTTGGTTTAGTTCAGAAGTTTTTTCCATTATCCAATGCCTCTCTGCTGCTGTTGTTCCTTTCTCATTAGCATTAAGAAAATTCAAGGTTAATAAAGCATTATGCAATCTATTTCTGGGGGTATCTTTCGTACCTTTCTGTTTGTTCAGCATATCCTTTATAGTACGATTTGATCTTTCTATAACTGCCTGATCTGTAGGACTATTTGGTATACCTGTAATGTGTTTTATATTAAAATAAGCAAAAAGGCGTTTCATTTTCTTAGATACATATGCTGGACCATTGTCTGTCTTTATTTGTGCAGATATACCCATGATGGCCATAACTTCCAATAAATGTGTGATTACCGAATCAGCCTTTTCTGAGCTCAGGGCAGTTGCCCATTGAAAACCTGAATACGTGTCTATAGTGTAGTGTACATATTTTAATTTACCAAATTCCATAAAGTGGAACACATCCATCTGCCAGATTTCCTTCCTTTGAGTACCCTTTGGGTTACTCCCTGCAGGCAATGGTGTTTGATTGTAGAAAGAACAAGTAGGATATCTCTTTATAATGTCCTTAGCTTGTTGCCATGTAATAGAAAACTCTTTCTTTAAGCCTTTACTATTGACGTGATGTTTTTTATGAAATTCTGAGGCCTGCAGAACGCTTCCAATCAATAATTGGTCAATTTCAGCGTTACCTTGTGCTAGAGGGCCAGGCAGACCGGTATGGGACCGGATGTGTGTTATATACATTGGACAAAGCCTATTCCTAATTATGTCCTGTACCTGGATAAGCAATGAAGTCAACTCTGTGTCATCTGGTATGAATTCAGCGATTTCAATATGCAAGATAACTCTTTCTGCATATTGTGAATCTGTAACTATATTAAGAGGTTCTTTAAAATCCCTTAGCACCATAAGAATGGCATATAAAATTATAAGACTTTGTTCCACCTTACTCAATTCTTCCGATTTATAACCTGCTTTCCCTGATTTATTTGCATCGGTATAAAATGTCTAGGCTCCAGTTATTGGAGCATCACGTACAATTCTAGGAGGAATCCAAGAAGTTCTCTTTATGAGGTTAAGTCTATCACTTTTGGGATAGTTGCTGTTAATTTCTCCCAAAAAATTAGCACAAGCCCTTTGCCATGGTTCATTATCTGCCCATAACTTTCTTATTTCCTCAATAGTAAAAGGCACTATAATTTCTGCTGGGTCTATACCTGCTAGTTGACGAAGTCTCAGTTTACCTTTTATAATTAATTCAGAGACTTTTTCTACATAAGTTTTTAATTTTTTACTTGGCTTATGAGGTATAAATATCCACTCTAAAATAATATCTTCCCTCTGCATTAAAATCCCTGCAGGAGAAATTCTGGAAGGCAGTATGACTAGGATGGAACTAAGATTCGCGTTCACCCTATCCACATGTGCCTCCTGTAATTTTTCCTCAATCATTGTCAGTTCCTTTTCTGCTTCAACTGTCAATTTTCTGGGACTATTCACATCTTTATCACCATCTAAGGTTTTGTTTAAATGAACTATTAGATCAGGTGTTATCCCAACAGCTGGTCGTAGACTGGAAATATCTCCTAACAATCTTTGGAAGTCATTAAGAGTCCGTAACGGGTCTCTCCTAATTTGTGCCTTTTGCGTTCGAATTTTCTCTAACCCTATTCTGTAACCTAGATAATTAATAGAATCTCCTCTTTGAATCTTTTCAGGGGCAATTTGTAATCCCCACCTAGGCAAGACTTTCTTTACTTCTTCAAACATATTTTTCAAAGTATCTTTATTTGAATCAGATAATAAAATGTCATTCATGTAATGATAAATTATGGACTTGGGAAATAGCTTACGAATTATTTCCAATGGCTTATTAACAAAATATTGGCACAATGTGGGACTATTGAGCATCCCCTGTGGGAGGACAGTCCATTGATATCTCCTAGTAGGCTGAGAATTATTATAAGTAGGCATTGTGAAGGCAAATTTTTCTCTATCCTTTTCTTGCAAAGGTATAGTGAAAAAACAATCTTTCAAATCAATAACTATAAGAGGCCATCCTCTTAGTAATAGAGAAGGCAAAGGAATTCCAGATTGTAGCGGACCCATAGGTTGAATTACCTTGTTGACAGCTCTTAGATCTGTCACCATTCTCCATCTACCAGATTTCTTTTTTACAACAAACACAGGAGAATTCCAAGGGCTGGTTGATTCTTCAATATGGTTAACATCTAGTTGCTCTTGTACCAGCTGTTCCAAAGCCTGTAATTTATCTTCAGCTAGAGGCCACTGCTTGATCCATATTGACTTCTCAGTTAGCCATTTTAAAGGTAGGGCTGTTGGTACCTCTAAAGGTTTGCTATTGGCTGTATGTTCTTGTACAACCTGAATGGCTGGTGACCTTTTTCCATAGTACCTCACTATATCCTTCCCAGAATTGTGAGTTCCTGGAACTACAGGAATGTTAATCTGGGTATTCCATTGCTGTAGCAGGTCATGGTCCCATAAATTTATTGCAATATTGGCTATATATGGCCTTAGTCTTCCTATTTACCCTTCAGGCCCTATGCATTCCACCCATCTTGTGCTTTGTTTTACATGAGATAGGGTTCCAATTCCCAGGAACTGAACATCTACCTCTTGAAGAGGCCAATTCGGATGCCAAGATTCTGGAGTAATGATACTTACACCTGCACCTGTGTCTAATAAGCCTTCAATTAAAATGCCATTTATACAGACTCTTAGCTTTGGTCTTTGATCTTTAATAGAAGTCTGCCAAAATTAATAGAAGTCTGCCAAAATGTACGTTTACTCTGTCCTACTGAATTTTTTGACTCATTCTCCACATGCAATTCATCATTTAGACCAGTATTACTTTTTACGGCAGACATTGGAGTTTTTAATTTTCTTGGTGAGACACATTTTCCACTCTAACTGGGAATGACTGGGCCACTTTTGGCTTGGGGGCCTGCGAGAGGCCCCTCAAGGAGTTTCCCAATGGTATCGGGTTGCCTTGTCTGTCTGTTGTTGACCTGCATTCGTTGGACCAATGTCGGCCTTTACCGCATCTCCTACATATACCTGAAGGCTGAGGTCTCCTACTTTTGTCATTCCCAGAGGCGATATTATTCCTAGAATTTCTTTGCCTGCAATCCCTTTTCAGATGTCCTAATTTGCCACAATTAAAACACCTGGTAGTTTGATGTCTCCTCATAGCTTTGGAAATCACTTCTCCTACCCAGGATTCATCACTATAGCTAAACGTCTCAACATTCATTGTATGCTGTATCCATTCTTCCATAGGTGCTGATCTAGATCTTAAAGGCCCACTTATCTTTTTACATTCAGTGTTTGCATTTTCAAAAGCTAGAGATTCAAGAAGTATTCGTCTAGCTTCTGGGTCTTTTACCCCTATGTCCAGAGCCTTAATTAATCTTTGCACAAAGTCAGTAAAGGGTTCTCTCTGTCCCTGCCTAACCCTGGTATATGATTCGACCCTTTTTGCTGGATCTTGTATTCTGTTCAAAGCATTCAAGGCTGCTTTGTGACATAAGGACAACACTTCTTTGTCATAAAGAGCTTGGACCTATGGATCAGCATGTGTTCCTACACCAAGAATTTAATCTTGGGAAACCTCCATACCTTTTGCTCTTCCTTGCTCTTCCATATGTTTGGATTCTTCTCCGAAATAAATTCCAAGCATCAAGGAAGGTCCATCATCTAAAACTGCAGACACTAGCTGAGAGAAATCATGGAGGGGTAGCTCTGACATTAGAAGCCCAAGTCCTTATCATTTCCTTAACAAATGCAGAGTGCAAGCCATACTTAACGACAGCTTGCTTAATTTCTTTTAAATCATTCATTGCTATTGGTGTCCATCTAGCTTCTTTAACTCCCTTTGAGCCTTTAGAAGTTGACCCTTTGTCAGAATCAATTACAGGGTATGTTAGAACCCTGGGTAAGCCAGCTCTAACAGCTGGTGGTGGCATTGTATCCTGTCCTTGTGCCTTCTTACTCTGTTCACCAGCTCCAATAATTTCTTCAGTCATTTCTAATCTTTTTTTCATTGTCTCCCTTAAATCCTGAATCTCCTGACCTACCCGTGTTTCTAGGAATTTCACTAAGGTATCAGTATTTTGGTTCCCATTCTGGAGGTACATTCTATCTGTTACCTTATCAAAACTTTGTGGTAACGTCTGAATGTCAAATTCAACAGCCTGAACCCTTTCAGGTAACTTCCTAGTACCCTTGGATATGGAGTCAGTATTGTCTATCATAGTATCCACTTGTTCAGATAACCCTTGATTTTCAATAATTTTAATCCTTTCAACTAGTTGTTCATTATTAGTCCGTAAATATCGTATCTTCCTTAATGTTAAAATATTGAAAAGAAAGCTGAAACCTAGTAACAAGTAAATTAATGTATCCCCATAGTCATATAAACCTTGCATGGCATAATCCATTGTATTAACAAAGAAAACAGTAAAATTGGCGTTGGAAACAAAAACTGCCATATTACCTCTTGTCTAGTAGGCGGTGCTGTTGCCAAGTCACGACTAGAACCACTGCAAAGGTGACGGAAACAGGGTCCTGTTTCAGTGTCCGCTTTAGTATTTGTTAAAAACTAGGAAATATAAGTTGCTCAAGAAAGAAAATGTAATTAAATCAATTCCATACACGGAACCAGAAACTCAGAATCCAGGGGTAGAAAAGAGCAACCCGGAAGTCGCGTATGCCTCCACGTGACCGAGTTGTTCTGATTCATGCCACTAAAGCACCGCACTTACAAGGGAAATTTAAAAACAACTCAGAAAAGAGCAAACCAGGCAGGCAGAGACTGTCCTGAGCCTGTGGAGCTTGGGAGGCGTGGGGTTTAATTGAACTGCTGGCTCCACAGGCACAGGCCGCAGCTGAGGGAGGGCTCGTGACTAGCCGAGTTGATGGCAAGCAGTTGAGTAGGGGGGAAGGGGGGATTCTACAACCAAACGTGGGGCGCCAGATGAAGGCGTAAGTCACAAATAATCCCACACCAGTTTGGAATTATGATTAATAGAAGGGTTATTTATTCAAAGGGGAAAAACTTACAGATTACCGTCTGCGCGAACAGGAAAGGAGTCTAGGAGCGGAAACGGAGCCGGAAGCCAGAGAGCGAGTGAAGGACAGCCGCTGCTTTTTTAAAGAGAGAGAGACCACGCCCCAATGGGCTGTTATCTCAGAGGCTATTGGCTGAAGGAGTGGAAGGAGCTCCTGCAGCAGTAGAGGGACAGATACATTTTGAAAGGGACCAAGCTCCCTTATGTTTTAAATTAATATATCAAGTTCTTCATAGGTTTTAAATTAGATTATCAAGTTAGTTCTGTCTATAATGTATTTGTATTTTGTTGCTTTTATTGTGGCTCTGTCTCACGCTTTTTCTGTTTTGTTTGTTTATTTGTTTTTAGTGGTGGAGTCATGATCTATATTGACCGAATAGAAGTGGTTAATATGTTGGCTCCTTATGCAGGTATGTTACCTATCTGCTGTGTTTGTAAAATTATAACCAGAGTGTTTGTAACTGAGAAAGGAAAGTACTTTTTAAAGTTTTACCACCTCAGTGAATACTAATAAATATGAAAGAATAAAGATGAAGATATTTCCAGGAAATCAATGTAAAAACACATCACAAGTTATAGACAGAATTAGTTTTCAGTAATCTTCTTTTTTTAAATGTATATGAGTGCTCTATCTGCAGTTATGCCTGCATATCAGAAGAGGGCATTAAATCCAACTATTTATGGCTGTGAGCCACCATGTGGTTGATAGGAATTGAACTCAGGACCTCTGGAAGAACAGCTGATGCTCTTAACCCCTGAGCCGTCTCTCCAGCCCTAGTTTTCAATAATCTTATGAGCTACTCCTTTCTGAATTTACTGTTTTTAAAAGCAATTGTTTTTAGAAAAAGAAAGTGGCATTGCGTCCAGTTATGGTGAGGGAGAATTTCCTTGAATCCTAAAGATCTATAACTGATCAATTTCCTTGGGTCACACTCATTTGTCTGTGTAGAAAAATCTTTTCTAGTTGAGATTTGCCATAACTTGCAAAGTAATCTGACAATCTGAAGTTATACTTGAAAGTTATAAATGAAAGCATTTTCTTGATAAAAGATGAACACTCACAGAGATTAAGTGGATACATGTTCTTTAAAAAAACAGGGCTGTGAAGGAAGATGGCTCAGTTGGTGTGTAAGCATGAGGACCTGAATTCAATCCTCAGCACCTAAGAGCTTAGTATAGCAGTGTACATGTGTAAGTTCAGTGCTGCAGCAGAAGCAGGAAGATCCCTGAGGTCCGGTGGCTAGCCAGTCTAACGTAATGATTGGGAGACCCAAAAATGACACCTGAGATTGGTTTGTGGGTGTGTGAATGTGTGTGTACACACACTCAAGTGCATTGCATTATATGTGCATACACACAAGGAATTTAATTGCAAGCTTTGAGTGTCTGGTCCTCATCCTTGTTAATAAGCTGGCAAGAGCTTTAAAAAAGTGAAAATGGCAGCCTCTGCCCCAAGGGTATTTTCACTGTACTTGAGAAGACATGATTGAAGTATAGGATCATGTTAAGTTTCACATTATTTGTATAGACACAGATAGTGGAAAGATTTCAGAATAAAAAGATGCAAGTATATTATTGTCAAGTAGTTTTGAATGACATTTTTCAGAGATTATTTTTCTCGTGGTTTTTCATCTTCAGTCAGCCTTCCATATCTGTGGCTTTTGTGTTCACAGGTTTAACCAAGCACATATCAAATATACTCAGGGGAAAAGGTGAACTTTTCCCCTGTCGTTTCCCCAAACTATACAGTATAGTAACTATTTATATGGCAAATTATATTGCGTTAGATATTGTGTAATCTCCTAGACTTGATGAAGTGTACAGGTGAATATGCAGTCTGTATCGCCTGGTCAGTCTTTATCTCTTAACTACAGTTTTGCTTTACAGTAATTGCTTGTACTTTCCTACTTCTCAGTTCCTCTTCACACTGCTGCACCAGTGCACATCTGACTGTTGTCATTCCTTCCTTAGTGTCCACAATCTGTCCCTTTCTAGCATGGAATTTGATCTTCTGTTAATGTTGTGAATGTAAGAAAATGTGTTAAATTGAACCCAAGAAGTGTAAGGTCTGTGAGTTGTGCTTTATGTTTTTACTATTTTGTTGATAGTTTTCCTTATGGATAATATATCACTTTATTATTGCTGAATTCAAGATACTTGGGTCATTGTTGAGTGAAACAAACATGGGTTGTATTCTCCTTCAGTGTTTGACATTGTGAGGAACTACACTGCAGATTATGATAAGACTTTAATCTTCAATAAAATCCACCATGAGCTGAACCAGTTTTGCAGTGCCCACACACTTCAAGAAGTTTACATAGAATTATTTGGTAAGTGTTAATTTGTTTTAAATATATAAGTAGACAATGATTAGGAATCTTTTTAACTTAAATATTAATGCTGTAATGTTAGTAAACCTTGGGCCATTTGAACACTTTCTCTGAATTTTTAATAGAGCAAGCATCTCTAAAATACTTTGTTTTTAGTTAGTAATAATTTCTTTTTTCCTCTCTCTCTCTCTCTCTCTCTCTCTCTCTCTCTCTCTCTTCCTCTGTCTCTGTGTCTCTCTTTGAGATACTGTCTTACTATATAGCCCAGACTGACCTCAAACTTACAGGAATTATCCTGCTTCTACCTTTCAAGTGCAGGGATTAAAGGCTTGAACCACCACACCACTTTAATGATAATTTCTTATATAACTTGGTAGGAATTAGAAAATCTTTATTCACATGCTATATTCTGTTTTCACTATACTTTATTAAAGCTTAGAAGTATATGTTTGGGAGTGTGCTGGCTAGTTGTGTATCAGCTTAACACGAACTAGAGTTATTTGGGAAAGAGAACCTCCATTGAGAAAATGTCCCCACCAGATTGGCCTGTGGGTGAGTCTGTGGAGTATTTTCTTGATTGATGATTGATGTGGGAGTGCACAACTCAATGTGGATGGTGCCACTCCTGGGCTCATAGTCCTGGGTGCTTTATAAAAGGCAGACTGAGCCAGTCACTAAACAGTGTTCTTCTGGAGCTCCAGGTTCTTACCCTGCCTTGGACTTCCTTAGTGATAGGCTTTAAGTGAGGTGAAATAAACCCTTTCCTTCTCAAGTTGCTTTAGGTCATGGTGTTTTATTACAGCAATAGACACTAAGACAGGGGTGTTTCTTAAGATCCACTTCTATGCATTTGGAATTCAGGATTTGTTAGGAGGACAGGCAGGACCTGGCATGCAGTTGTATTTACAACTATGATTATTTCATATAAAGGATACAGATAAAAACTAGCGAAAGTAAAAGTTATAATGATAAAGTCAAAGGAAAACCACATGTAGAATCCTCTGGTAGTGGAGTCACCTAGGGTGTGCTTACTTCCCTTAGTAACAAGGTACAAACACATGTGAAATATTGACTGCTGGGCAAGCTCATTAGCCGCTTAGCACCTAGCAGATTTCACTGGGGTTGATCATATAGACACCCTTTGCCAACTACTTAACAAACGTCTAGGCTCCCTCAGGAAAACTAGTGTTGAGCACAAACCACACTGTATAAACAGGCAGTATGGTACCTTTTACTAGTTCTGGCATGGTGTTGGGAGTCCTGTCCAGATCTAGACTCCAAAGGCTACAGTCCCAGGCCTGCTATGTTACCTTTCTTCTGTAAAAGTTTTCACTTGAGATAATGAAATTATCTCTGACCAGCGAATTGGGTTTGTCACTTTTAGTGTTCACCTCTCCTTCCTGGAATTCTTAGTTTATTTCTCAGAGTAAGGTATGGGAATAGTTAATCAATTTAAAGTTTACCAACTAGGGGCTGACAAGATGGCTTAGTGAGTAAAGGGTCTTGCAATGAAACTTGATGACCTCAGTTCAGTCTCCAGGCTCTGCATATTGGAAGGAAAGAACCAGCCACACACAAAATAAATAAAATATAATTAAACCAATTGTTTGCTTTTGATGATTGACAGCTGCTGCAGTGCTTGATTTGTCGCTTCACTGGTTGCTTTAATAAGGGTGAAACTACCCTTGAGGTGATAAAAGTTCATCCATTGTAAGATCAGTAAAGTTAAGGCTCTTTATGGTGTAACTTACCTTTATTTAATCCGTAAGGTGGCAATCAACAGGAAAGACATATAGTTATTTGCATAAAGATTTACTTAAAAAATTACATTATGAGAATCGAGCTCAGATATGGCATATCTATAATCCCAGCACCTAGGAAGCAAAGGGGATTGTAAGTTTAGACCAATCTGAGCTATAAAAGGAATAAGGCATGCACTAAGAAACTAAAGACTCAGCTCCTTCATTTATTCAATAACTGCTTTTAGCCAATAATTATTAATCTAGTAAAAATGTAAGTTATCCAATAAATACATTGATCTAAAGTTAAATTGAACTTACTGAATAAACATCTTGGGGGTAAACTTAGAATGGCTGTTTATCATAGTTCTTCCTTAATAGGTAATTTCTCAAGAAGAAAAATGCTTTGTATTCATCTCACTTAGACTTAGTATATATTTTATTTGTCAGTTGTTTAAGCTCTGATAAAGAATAAGACTGGAATCTGTTCTGGTGTTAATTAAAAATAACCGAATATCATGAGAATTGTTGTTCTTGACTTGAAAAACAGATCAAATAGATGAAAACCTGAAGCAGGCACTGCAGAAGGACTTAAATGTCATGGCCCCGGGTCTCACGATCCAGGTAAGCTCCAGAATTCCTAGGGACATTCTGGGGAAGTTTTTAGAGCTTCCAGTTGAATACTTTCATGTGATTGGTTGTGCAGTTACTTAATCAAATCACTATGGTAATTTGACTTGCATCCCTGTGGAAATGAGAAGTGTGCTGAGTGGTGTTTTCTGGTGAATTTTAGGAGGATAATTCAAAGCTCTTATGAAGAACTAAATTCATATTTCTACCAAATATGAGTTCCTTTTAAACACAGTAATGGTTATTAACCAGTATGAAAGTACACCTTGCCTTCAATAACATCATGAAAAAGGAGCTCAAATGTAAGAATTAAACAACAGTTCTTGACAAAATAAATGTGACAGGGTATGAATTGTCCATTGGACAGTGATTGCTATGAGAGTGTCTACAGAATGAGTTCTAGGACAGCCAGGACTGCTGTCTCTAAACAAAACAAAACAAAAAAAATGGAACATTAATAAAGAATTAATTAAGAAATTAATTTAAAAAGGTATGACTTGGAGCACTTTATTAAGTAAAGGTATAAGAGAGTGGGTACCCTTGTCAAAGTGTATTTTCTGTATTTGTTGGATGAATATCTCATGAGAACTCTACTCAGTTCATCACCCCAGTTATTGATTAGTTGATTTGCTGTGCTTTGTTTTAATGTATATGGGTGTTTTTTTCTGCATGTATATCTGTACACCATGTTTGTGCCTGGTGTCCCCAGAGACTGGGAGAGGGCATCAGATCCCTTGGAACTAGAGTTACAGTGAATTCTTGTATTCTTGTTTGTATTCCTTTTATTTCCTTCTCTTACTGAGAGTGAAGATGCTGGATACCCTGGACTGTTCTTGATCTCACAGCAGATTTTCCTGGTCCTCTGGCTCTTACAGTCTTTCTGCCCCTTTTCTGCAATATTCTATGAGCCTTAGATGTAGGAATTATGTTGTAAATATTGAGACCAGGCTCAACCAAGTTTGCTATGGGTTTAGGTGATCTATGGGTACCTAAAAAGGACTTAGTTCATTGTCTGCCTTTGCATTTCCCCCTTTTAGACCAGCAGAGCCAAGTAAACCCAGGCAGTCTAAAGAGAGGCCTAGCATGCCATTTTTCTCCCCAATAAGCCCCGAAGCAGCCATTCCATAGTAACAAGATCACAGTGGGTAATATGCCTATGGGCCTTGGATGAGAGGTAAAATTATCTCACTGAAAAGTTTGAGAAACTGTATTTGCAAAGCTCATAGAATTTATTGTAAAAGAAAGAAACTATTACACTGTTTTAGCCATCTCTGCACCAGATCTTCTCATTCTCATAGTCCTAAATCATGATAGGAACAATGTTAAGGTGGTTGTCATTCTGGTCAAGATCCCTATCATGGACTTATGAGCTCTGCTTTAGCATCCAAAGACTAGCTACCTACATTTGCCTAGTCTGGAAAACATTTTTCTGTCTGCAGACTTTAAAGGGTTTTGTTGATCCTGGTCATGGAAATTTGTCTAGGTGCACCAGACAAGATGTTCTTTTCACCTATTCCTATGTTCAGGCCCATCAAGCCAATTCCAGTAAGGAGAAGGATTGGGAATGGTTCACGTGCAGTTTTCCTGGATGAATAAGAGCCATAATAGCCTTGTCTGAAGCGCTTGTTCTCAGAAGGTGTATGGCATCCAAGTAGTAATAGCTCCCCTTTCCCTATTATTGGTATATTGGTGGTTCTTTGGATGTAGACATTTTTCTGAAGCCAGTGAGCTGAAGTCAGGCAAAAAGCCCATTCACTGGGAGCTGTGGCTTCTGCTCTGAGGGACATGGATCTCTAAGGTCATTTTTGAGGAGCTGATGCTAAAGTGTTTGACAATCATGCAGTCATTGAAAAATTTCCCGGTTTTGTTGCTACTTCATAACTGTAATTTTGCTACTGTTATGAATAGTAATGTAAGTATTTGATATGCAACCCCAAAAGGGTCTCAACCCACAGGTTGAGGACCACTGCCTTAGATCATCTCTCTGAGCCCTCTCAGCAAGAATAAAACGAGGATTCCACCAAGGCAGATGTGACTTAACTCAAAATATCTGCACTTCTCCAGAGACAGGAGCGGTCAAATACTTGATTTTCTCCACCTCTGCCTTTAGGTTAGAGAGGATACATCCACCAACCTTCAGCCAGTAGTCTGGGAGTTTATCACTTTTTACATGATGATTATAAACTTACAGGTTACAAAGTATTCCGTGCTTGTTCTTTGAAAGCCACTGCCAACTTTCATAAGGTTCTTGGGTTGATATTTTTGCAATGCTTGGAAATATGGCCCAGAAATTGGTAATTTCTGTGTTCCAATTATAAAAGTAGGGAACTTGGGAGTTTTCACAGACAGAATGAAGAAGTTGCTTACCTTTATCCTGTTCTTTTTGAGAGGTTTCTACCAGTAAGTGGTGACAGTTGAGCAAAGAAGAGAAGTATTGTTTGTTTGATATTTTAGGATTTGTTTGTTTGTTTGTTTCTTAAGTATAACTTTTATGTGCATTGGTGTGAGGACATCAGATCACCAGGAACTGGAGTTATATACAGACAGTTGTGAGCTGCTGTGTGGGTGCTGGGAACTGAACCTCAGTCCTCTGAGAGAGCAGCCAGTGTTCTTAACCTCTGAGCCATCTCTCCAGCCCCTTTAGTTTTGTTTTTAAATGAGGAAATAAGTGGTTTTCTTCTAGAGCTGTGTAAAGTTGTTTGTTTGTTTTTATAATTAAGAAATTATTTATGTATTCGGATGTTTTGCCAGCATGTATGTCTCTGTACCACAAGGAAGACTTCTGGATGCCCTGGGACCAAAGTTCCTAGCCAGTTTTGAGTCTTCATGTGAATCAAACCTGGGTCCTCTCGATCTCTTAACTATTGAGCATCTCTCCAGCCCTCATAGATGGAGGTTTTTTAGGTCATCAAAAGTGTGACTAATGCTGTTTCTGTTTTTATTGGGGATCCAACCCAGGATGCTATTTCCTAGGGACAGAAATCCCTTTATGATTTTTTTCTACAACAGTAGAGAATTCCTCCATTTTATAAAATAAGCAAATGCTTATGAATTTTTTCGTAGTCTTTTAAAATAGTCTTTACTTGGTCTGTACCACCAGCTTAGAGACTGATAGAGTTTTGTTGATGTTTTACTGTAGACAAGAGATAAAAAATTAACCCTGAGTGAATTGGGAAAGAAAGAATTGTTGAAAGTTATGGACTGGTGAAATGACTCAGCAAGAAATGTAAAAACTTTTTTTAAAAAATGAAAGTTTTGAAATTAAAAAAAATTAGATTCATGTGCTTAAATGCTCTGTTACTTAAACATTTAGCCAGTTGACTTATGTGCGTACATTATCAGTGGCAGGTGCAGGATGTTTAGTTAGTAAATACAAAAGCTTCCAGAGATAAGTTCTTAGTGTAGGAAAGTCAGCCTTCTAAAGGACTACATTCCAAGTAGATACTCGAATTATGCCAAAGTTCACTTTGATTAGAACAACAATAAAGAATGTCTACAAATACAGGGAAACTTTGTTCTAAGTGAGACTCTAGAAAGAAAGAGTGCCAGCTTTCCGTTGCCATTTATTATACTACAGCCATGTTCTCAACTGCTGCAACCCTTAGTATAGTTCCTCATGCTGTGGTGACCCCAACCATAATATTATTTCATTGCTACTTCATAATGTTGCTACTGTTATGAATCACAAATATCTCACATGCAGGATATCTGATAGGTAACCCTTAAAGACATCACAGCCAGGTTGAGAACTGCTGTCCTACAGCTTTGGGCTACATTTACACCTAGCACCAACACATTACAACTTTCGGCAGTAATCATTTTCTTGCTGGACATGGTATTTAGTTGTATACACTGACTTGAATTTTTCACATGCTCTTAATGTAATTTACCCCTCAGCCTTATTCCTTTGACTGACTTCTCTTTCTTTGGTTTGCAAGTTTGAAATGGAAAGCAAAATTATCCAACTACAGAGCTTTGTAAACTGTCTTCTAAGGAAAACTTAACTGGTTTATTTCCTCCATGAGTAAGGTGGCTTTCTCTTGAGGTTAGACCCTATTTAAGTAAACTGGTGTGACAGCATACAAAGTAGATTTGCTAGTGGGATCCCTATGTAAATTAGTGGGGAGCTGTGTTACAATTGTTATTTACTCTAGGCTCATCTGAGGAGCTCATCTTTAGGAGGCATGGTTAAAGACTTTTGTGCTGCCTCTGTTGGGAGTTGTGGTTTTTTGGTAGGTCTGCCTGTGTAGCCCAATATGAGCTAGAATATCCTCTTGATCCTCTTGTTTTCATCTTGGATGATGTGTGTGTGCTACCATACCTGGTTTAAAGACTATTTTTCATATATATATATTTTGACTTACCTTTTTTTTTTCTTTTTCTTTTTTTAGGCTGTGCGTGTTACAAAACCCAAAATCCCAGAAGCCATAAGAAGAAATTTTGAATTAATGTGAGTAACATTCATGGACTCCTATTATTTCTCTTTAGAGATATTTGCATATTAATATAGCAGTCTAGGGAAAATGTGAAAGGAAAATGCTCAGTCTGAGATTGGATGAATAGCTGTTTTCTGTATGTTAGTCACGTTACCTTTTGTATCTTAATGCCCAGCAAATACTTACTAGGTTTCTCTTTATGTATGGGCATTTCCAGAACAGTACTCAAAGATGCAGTTTGCTGTGAAATGATTAATTGTAGTATTATCAGAGTTGCACAATAGTCTGGAATGGAGTATAACAAAGGTTTATTTATTTGGGGCTAAACTCACAGTAAGGGAAGCAATCCGCAGTCTTCTGTGTGTACCAGTACTGGAGCCAAATCCAGAAAAAAAGGGCCGCACATGCTTTTCTTCTGCAGTTATAGTACATAAGACCACGCCCAAAGTGGGCCAGTATCTTAAAGACTATTGGTTGAAGGAGTTCCTTCCTACAACACTTCCTCCTTTTCTATTTTATATACAATAAGAACAAATACCAAATGAAAAGTTTTTTGCAGCCCAATAAACCTCTCTGCCGATACAATAATCCGAATCAGACTAAATCAAACTGAATTAGAAAAAACCCAGGTTTAATGGATACCAGCTTTCCCGGGTGGCATTTCAGTCCCCAGAGAGGAAACAGGGAAGGAAGACCAGAAAACCATGTGTTTGTTCTCTGGGTTGCTGTTTAAATACCCTGTGGGTGTGGTCTCGAGCATCTCTGAAGAGGAGTCATTGTTTGGCTGGTTTTCTTGGGGGTAGAGTCTGGACTGAGGCAACTCCCAAGGAAGGGGGCTTGGGATGGAATTTTCTACCCAAACGTTCCAGACTCTTTGGGTATATGGAGGCCAGGGGCTGGGGTGACGCTTCCAGCTAAACATCCCAGACTCTTTGGATATATGGATGCCAGGGGCTGGGGTGAAGCCTTAACCCAAACACCAAGTACTGTCCAGAAAAAAGAATAGGCAAAAACATACATAAAAATTAATTACAACCAGCATGAACAACATCAAACAAGAAACACATGCTTAATATTTCAATAGTTATTCTATCCTAAGGAGTCTAAGTCTTATATTAGAAATGAGAGGAAAGTAACTATGACTATCTAGTCTTCAATCCCATCAAAGACCTGAGAAGAGAAATAATATTATCTGAGTAAACAGGAAGTGCAATCAAGCAACTTCCAAAAGTTGCAAGAAATGACAGAGATAACCAGCACCTGGGCAGTCACCTAAAGTCTCATTTGCAATGTTGGGGCAACCAACTTTGACTAAGGCCTAAAGTATCTGACAGACCATTATGAATGGAGCCTTGAATGAAATATTAATTAAACAGTGTTGAAAAGAATGCCCCTTTTGTTACCTTATTATAATGGTAAGAAGAGAACCTTGGGGCTGAATAGATGACTCAGCTGTTAAGAGCACTGACTGCCCCTCTAGAGGCCCCAGGTTCAATTCCCAGCACTCACATGGTGGTTCACCACTGTCTCTGACTCCAGTCCTAGGGGATCTAGTGCCCTCTTCAGGCCTCTATGGGCACTGCAAACACTTGGTACACAGACAAGAAAGCAAAGCAGACAAAACACCCATACATATTTTTAAAGGTATTTTTTTAAAAAACGAGTGTATACCTATTTGGTATAAAACTTAGGGTTTTTTGTTTTGTTTTTGTGATAATCAAATCTAGGTCTTTACACATTGCCTGTAGGGATGTCTTACCTGAGTCTGAGTTGATTTCTGAGTATCTTCCCTTTTTTTTTCTTTTTCTTTTTTTACTTTTTGGTTTCTTGAGACGGGTTCTCTGTGCAGCTTTGGAGCCTGTCCTGGTCAGTCTGTAGACCAGGCTGGCCTTGAACTTACAGAGATCGACCTGCCTCTGCCTCTCAAGTGCTGGGATTAAAGGTGTGCACCACTACTGCCTGGCTGGTATCTTTCTTTTTTTATGTCTCTAGAATTGATTAGAAAGAAGTTACTTACCTGACACAAGATTAGTTTATAAGTGTTTTAGAGGATCTCTTTCTGATGATACTTATAATATTTGAAACAGCAATATTCTCATAGAGTATATATGAAAAGAAGAAACAAACAACTTTAGAAATTTTGGTTGTTGGGAAGAAATAAGAGATGATGCTAAATTAAAATAATTACAAAACCACGAACACACTAGATGAGGGCCAGGGATGTGACTGTGGCAGAATGCTTGTTTGCCTGACATAAACAAGACTGAATTCAGTCCTCAGGGCACACACATGCATGTGAGTGCACATATACACTCACACACAATCAGAGAATATAGCAAGTGTTCAAGGGAACAGTAGTACTTCTCTGTAGTGTAACCTGACTTCTTTGTGTTTCTAGTCTGTCTTCTGTTGTGCAGAGTTCTATTTCTCCTGTTTCATTTAGAGCTGTACTTTAAGAGTATAAAGCATAAAATATCAAGCTGGGAGGTAGGTTATAAATCTGAGCTGCTAATAGAAATGATGTTTATTCAAGGATCAGGATATCTTAAACTTTAGATATGAATGTTTCTACAAATAAATGAGTTATATGGGTTCTCTCCTTCCCTCCTTCCATCTCTCACTGCCCCTCCTGTCTTTTCCTTTTTCCTCCTTCTCTCCCCTCTCTGTCCCTATTCAGAAGGGTCACATGTGAGAAGTTTGAAATACACTTTCAAACCTGCATGTTACTGTGCTTTATCCCCAGAACCAGAAAGAGGGAAGAGGGAGGGAAGGGAAAGGCAGAACCTTTTCTGATTTGTATGCTTTACTTTGCAGGGAAGCAGAAAAGACAAAACTTCTTATAGCTGCACAGAAACAGAAGGTTGTTGAGAAAGAAGCTGAGACGGAGAGGAAAAGGGCAGTTATAGGTATATGGATTTATTTGTGATGAATGTCTCTGACTATAGGTGCTGTGACTTTGTCCTTTTTTTTTTTTAATCAATTTCTTGTTTGATAATGAGGGCATTCAAGACAGCATTATGTGTAGTGGAGAATTCTAGAAACTTCTTTGTATATCCAGATGTCCTTAAACCTTTAAAAGTAAGGAAAGCCAGTAGGTGATGAAGTATAGCCCACTTAATTTTCAGTTTGTAGCATAATTCATTCTGGTGAACTGCTGAAGAGTTACTTTCTAGTTTATATTACTATAGCATGCTGTGTGGCTGTCCTTTTCAGTGTCTCTGCACACATGCCGGAGTTTTCCCAGAGTAGTGTGGTTCAGCATGGGGGAATAGGACTGTTGCTGTCTCCAGCTTATTTTCCTGAACCACATGAAACAGGCCAACTACTGAGAGAATTTAAGAAGATCTTAAAGCATCTTCACACACTTAATTTTTTAAATGTCAAATCTAATAAATTTAGAGCTTATAATTTTGTTATGTTTTAAATTTTGCTTTTCTAGTAATTCATTTTTGTTGTAGTTTGTAATCTATTGGCTCCTACTAGATTGAAAGTCAAGGGAGAAAGGTACTTTGGGGTAGGTTGTTGTAGAGAACATTCCTCAGAGCAGAATTGCTGAGTCACAGTGTATGCATATGTTCAGGTTGCTCTTGCTGCCAAACTATTCTCTCCCTGGTTCCTCCATCTTGTCTGGCTTCAGCATTGTATTCTGGTTTCTGTACTGCTGTATTGAATTCTCCTTTCTCTATGTCCTCATCACCTCTTGGAGTTACCATACTTCAAACATTTATTTTGTCAGTTTAGTGATAGATAGTATAACACATATTTTCAATTTTAATATCTTTGAACCGAAATATCTTTGAGTTATATAAATTTGATTTTCACATAGTCTAGTTCATCAAAAAATCAAGTGGTTTCTGCCTTATCTTGTTTACAAGTTCATTTGCCTCCACAGGTACCAATTTTATTCAAAATATTTAAATTTCTGGGGTTTTTTGTGTATGAACCTTTAATCCATAAGGGATTTATATTAATGTTTAATGTGATAGAGATTTGGCTTTACTTTTTCCAAATGGCAATCAAGATTATTGATTAGTTCATTATTTCCTCTTTTTGAATGTCATTTATGTTATACAGTAAGATATTACATGTAATTAGTTTTTATCCTAAGATCTCTGTTTTAACTCCTCATTCTGAAGTGTCCCTGTTACTTTTTTCCTTAGCTGTTCCTGTTGGTTGTAATTGTTGACTATTATTAACTATCCCTAAAGTTAGCCTGGACTAACTAGCCCCTGTATTCAGCTATGAAACTGTAAGGACCAGCTCAATTCCCTAAAATACTCTGTTAGGATTTTTGTTTGAATTACATTGAATATACACTGATTTGGAGAGAATGGAAATATTTGATACTGAGTCTTACAAATCCCGTCTTTCTATTTATGAGAAATGTCTTTTTAAAAGTATCATAATTTAGGGTTAGGGAAATGACTCAGGGTGTAAAATGTAAGCTTGAAGACCTACAATTTTGAATACCAGAAACACATGAAAATCTAGAGTGGGCTCTGTGGATCACTTTTAATCCCAGTCTCATAAGGTAGGGAAATCTCAGAGCAGGCTGGCTAGCAAGACTAGCTTTATAGACAAGCTCTAGGTTCATTTAGGGACCCTTCCTTAACAAATGGAAGCGTCACCAAAGATAACCACTGATTCAGCCTCAGCCTCCACGTGCCTGTGCACCCACTTTCATGTTTTCTCACACACATGTGCCCACATACATATGAAAGCTGGAAAAGCGGGGAGGGGTATAATATTCTTAAAGTCTCTGAAATTTATTAGAAATTTATTCCTTGGTGCTGAGTGTGGGGGCATGCTCCTTTAGTCCCAGCACTCAGGAGGCAGAGGCAGGCAGATGCTCTGAGTTTGTGGCCAGCCTGGTCTACAAAACGACTTTCAGGACAGACAGGGCTACACAGAAAAACCCTAACTCAAAGGGGGAAAAAAAAAGCAATTCATTGCTGGATAGCTTTTTAAAGTTTATTGTTCCTGTAATAAGTAGAGTCTTTTACAAAGGCACTTTTCTAGCTCTAATTTTTTTTTTTTTGGTAGATATGTTATTGGTTTTTAGTTAGCAGCCTTGTTGAAAATGCTAGTATTCTTAACAGTGTTTTTGCTTTCCCTGTGATTAATCATGTTGTCTTTAGATACCAATAACTCTGTTTTCTTCTGTATATAAACATCACACCCTTCATTTCTTCTTGTCTCGCTGCTCTAAGCTATGGCTTTTTATACAGCATACACCGGAGCAGGCACTTTGGTTTTATCTCTAAATAGTTCCAGCATCAGTTGCTGTCCTAACATTTACTATTCAATGAAGTTTTCTTCTGTTTGTTCTTTGCTTGCCAAAAGCCCTTATTAAGAATTATTGTTAAAGCCTGGTGGTGGTGGCGCAAGCATTTAATCCCAGCACTTGGGAGGCAGAGGCAGGTGGATCTATATGAGTTTAAGGCCAACCTGGCCTACAAAGTGAGTTCCAGAATAGGCTCCAAAGCTACAGAAACCCTCTGCAAACCAAAGAGAGAGAGAGAGAGAGAGAGAGAGAGAGAGAGAGAGAGAGAGAAAGATGTTACTGTTAAAACTAAGTTTGTTTGTTTGGGTTTTTTTTGGTGTGTGTGTGTGTATTGAATTGAACATATGATTTTCAAGTTACTAATATGGTGGATTCTATTGTTAGATGTTATATTACTGGATTTTCTTGTTGCTCTATTAACAGTCATGATATGGAAGGTTCACCATAATCTCTTGTAAGGTTTGCTGATAATTTTTTACAAATTTTTACAAGTGAGATTACTTACAGTTTTCTTTTCTTATAAACTCTTATCGCGTTTGCTCTTCTGTATTTTGTTTGAGGTTAGAAGTTTGTGTTCTGTTGTGTGCTTTGTTTCTTCCAACTTCAGAATGCCCTGAAGAGCGCTTATTTCCTGGGACATTTTGTATATGATATATATTGTTTCTTTTCATGGGTTTCATGGAACCCATAAATCATTTTGCTTTAATATGGTTTGTGCTACTTGTTTGTACTTTGGTAACATCCAACCTAATTTCATTTCTCTATTACATATATTTATTTCATTATTCATTTCCTTTTAAGGTTTAGAAATTTTATTTTTGTTGAAAATTGTCTTATTCGTATAATATGTCAAATGGGGAAATGGATTTACAGAATTCACCTTAGCTTTGAACACATCTGCTATAGTCTACCTTCCGTTATGTTTTTTGGTTGTACATTCCTTTTTGTTGGATCAGTTTTGATCTTATTTATTTTTCATAGAATTGCTTTTTAGTTTTGACTTGATTTATGCTTTCTTTCCAGTTATCTCTGTGAATTTTTGTTAGTTCCTTTTCCTGCATACTTTAAACTTACTCATTGGTTCTTTTATAAAAAAAAAAGTCTAACTTTAGATGCTTAATTCATTGACTTTCAGTTTTTTCCTTTTCTCTTTTTGTTTTTTGTTTCTTTGTTTTTAGTGGAAGGATGTAGGAGAATGAATTTCCTTCCGAGTACTGCTTTGGTCTTGGGGGTTTTGGTGGTGGTTCTTTTGCTTATATGTATTCAATTTTCTTTAAGATATTTTCATTATAATTTCATCATTAATCTATGAGTTATATGTATTGCTTTTTTAGTTTTGGGTTCAGTGAGTTTTGAGAGTTGACCATTTTATTGATTTTCAGTGTCACAAAGGATAACATCTATTGTATGGATGATTGAGTTGTGTGTTGAAATTTGCTCTGCAGCCTTTTTCTGTAAATGCCCTAGTTGTCTTAGAAAGGGCTGACTATATAGTCCCCATTTGTTGGATGCAGGTTTCTGTGGCGATTGATTTCATCTTCTATGTCCTTCTCATTTTTGTCTTCTGGTACTATCAGTTTACTGATAACATTGTGTTAAAATTTCTTAAAAATGACTTAAATTTTTTCTTTATTTTGAGTCTCTCTCATGAAGGCCATTTAAATTCAGGATCATTAATTTCTCTGGAGATTTCCTACTGGTTTATAATAGCATTCTTTATCCCTAAACATATTGTGTGGCATAAGACTTACGCTGTCTGATGATAACACAGCTATGTTGGATTTCTCATGGCTATTTCTTGGTGTATCTTCCCGTTCTTTTACTTTCAACTCTTCTATGTCATTATGTTTTAGGTATGTCTCTTATAAACAGCATATAGCTGGATTTTGTTATCTTATCCAATGTGAGAATCTGTCTTTTATCTGGTGAGTTTTAGTCCTTTTATATTTACTATAGTTGCTACTGTATTTAGATTTGTATGTTATCCCTCAATTATATGCAATTTACCACACATTTTTTTCCCTCTACTTCTTTTTCCATTGTGAGTTGTCTTTATTCATTTTTTTCTTTTACTTGACTCTAAGGTTTACATTCTGTTTCTGGAATGTACAACTAGTCATCACTCGTGAAATGTTAAGTTTATCTGAGTCAGTAAAATCTAAAGTAAATAATATTCTCCATCCTCTTCTGGAAAAATACTTGGAGATGCTTCAGTTCTCACCCCTGTTCTCCAGTCTCACCTGCTGCTGTTGCTCTGTCATCTGTTTTCATGTTGTTTTTATCCTTGCTTACCCTCCTCAGTACTAATGACTTCTATAGTCAACATTTCATTCGATTTGAAAGTGTAACCTTTTCCTCTGCTTCAGATGGTTTACTTTTCCCTGCTACTTGTTATCTTCTTGTTTTGTTTTCCTGGTGAAGGCTAAGCTTGTTTAGTCTTCCTTGGTCAAAAGTGCTCTCATTTCATCCTCGATGGAGCTTGAGCCTACAGATCTGTAACAAACTAAATTTATTTTTTCTTATCATATTGACAATACTGATACTTTTTTATTTGGCCTCTTGAATGTGATTACAAACTTGCCACCAAACCAGTTATTATTATTATTGGGGGGGGTAGTCATTCTTCTGCTTTTAAAATCCTCTTGCTTTTAAGGTAACTCTGTTCAGTTCTCCAGCTCTCATGAGGCTAGCAGGTAGAGTTCTTTAGTGCTCGTTTCTCTCGAGTTGAAGCCTTTATTCGAGAGAGTTGGGATGTGCAAGGCCATGTCTAGTCCTGTGTGGAGCATTGCCCAGTGCTTCTCTCTCTGTGGTGAGTAACCGCCCAGAGCTGCTGCCGTGCACCCTCAGCTCTTCTGTAGCTGTGCCTCTTGAAGACTTTCATTCTATCTTATAAACTTGCTGTGCATTTAAAGACAGATTTGTTATGTATTGTGTAACAGTTTAAGGTGTTACTTAAAGGAATTTTCTCATTTGTCTACTCCTACTTTTCTGGAGCTCCAAGTCTGGTCATACTTTCCCTTGGTTTCTTTCCATGAAATGGAAAGTAGTGTGTCTTAAGCTTATGCTTATCGTTAAATGCCCAGCCCGTAGGGTTTTTGTTGTTGTTGTTGTTGTTGTTTTTTAAGTTAGTGTAATACAGATCTGGGATAATTTTAAAAAATACTGCCTCCTGAAAAAAAATGAAACTATTTGGAATTTTTCTCTCTATTACATGTTCTTCGCCAGAAGCTAGAGATAAAATATGTTAAAGTATTTCTTGGAAACTTTGGGGTTCCACACCATGATCTACAGGTGTTTAAGAAAATGAAATGTGTGTCATCTAACTTAGGTACATTCTGTCATATTCTTTACGTCATATCTAGGTTGCTTATACCTGTTAAAATTAAAGTACTATGTAAATAGTTGCCATCATTAGGGAATGGTGACAAGAAAATAATGTTCATGTTCAGTAAACACATTTTTAAAAATTTCTGAGTATGTTCAGTCTGTGTTTGGTTGAATCTTCAGATGAGAAACCTGTGACCATAGAGAATCACATGTCCTCATCATCTTTGGCTGAAAGGAAAATTGGAAGTGTTTTTTAAAGAATTACAGTGATAGAATTTCAAGTGTAATTAGTCTTTCGTGTTTGGTCCTGGGGACTTCGGTTTGGACAAAGGTTTACTAAAAGTATTTAGTTTTCTTGTGTGTACTTGGGTATGGCAGCTGCTATGATCACTGTGAACACTTGTTTCCTTAAGTGACTAATTTCTGCCTTATCTTTACATCAGTAAGACTATTCATTCTTTGATACTATTTTCCTTATGTCATATTCTTGATGGAAACTTAATACTAGATCCTAGAATATGTTAAAACTCGACTGTTTAGCCTGTCACTTACAACACAGGCTTTATTTTCTCTTGTTGTCTGGCTCTGTATTCTCTGTAATTTTTTCATTTATATTTATGTATCTTTTATTGTGTTTTCTGGCTTATCCCTACCAGCTCATGTCCATTATTTCCTACAAAATGTCTTCTTGGTTTAATTCCCATTATCCTGATTTTCTCATGCCGCTTTATATGGTTGTTCTATGTTGCCATGAGTTTGTATTGCTCCATTTTTGTACCATTTTTTTACCATTAGTTTGTGAACCATTGCTTTATAGTCTCATGGAAGACTGAAATTGTTAACCTTTTGTAACCTTCCCACAAAACTTGCACTACCTACATAGGACATTAGAGAAAGAAAGGAATTCCTCCTCTCTTGAGTTATTTCTAGAACAGATAACTAAAATTATTTTTAGAACGGAAACTATTAGCCATAAAGGCACATGTAATTAATGTTAGACCATGTACTACTGATTCTGAATATGTTTCTTTGTTATGTTATAGAGGCAGAGAAGATTGCACAAGTGGCAAAAATTCGGTTTCAACAGAAGGTGATGGAGAAAGAAACTGAAAAACGCATTTCTGAGATTGAAGGTAAGGCTGAAGTTCTGAGTGTCCTGGACTGCCTCTCTGCCTCAGGACCAGTTCTTTATTGTCTTGTGGGGGAAAGCCATAGGGTATTCTGGTCTGGAAGAAGTAGCTAGCCTGATACACTAGACAACAAACAAACAAACAAAACACTTTATAATCTTGCTCCTTCTTTAGGCTGTGATTCTAATAGTTCAACCTTTCATTTCCTTTCTTACAATGGAGACTAAAACTCTCACTTTAGTCTCTGATGAAGTATAAGAATTCCTCAACATTTTTTGAGGAATCAAACAATGATCTGGAGAGATGGCTCAGTGATTAAGAGCACTGACTGTTCTTCCAGAGGATCAGGTTCAATCCCCAGACCTACATGGTAGCTCACAACTATTTAAAGTTTCAGTTCCAGGGTGATCCAACACCTTCTTGTATACACAGAGATACATGCAGATAAAATAGCATATACATAAAATAAAATGAAAAAAAATTAAAATGTGCAAGGTAAGGGCAGGGGAGATAGCTCATTGGTTAAAGACACATACTAATTTTGCAGATGCACCCATGTCAGGTAGTCCTCAATTGTGTGTAACTGCAGCTCCAAGAGATCAAATGCCTTCTTCTGGCCTCTAGAGGCACTGTTCTCATGGACACACACACACACACACACACACACAATTTAAAATAATTTTTTAATGTTCAAAATAGTAAACTTAACCACCACCAGTTTGTCACATGTCAACAGTAATAACAACAAATTAGCTTGGGGAAAAGATATGATCCCTTTGTAATTGAAAATCTGAAACTGTGTAATCACATAGTGATGTGTTTGCTATTAAACCCAGAGCCTTGCATATGCTAATGTTGATGCTCTTTGACAGATCACAGTCTTGAGGATACTTCTATACAACTGTTTATCTCTCTGTACTAACTTATTTCAGATTAAATTTGGTGAGGATGCAAATAATGCAATAAATAGAGTGGAGCTTTTATGTTTAGATGTGGTTATTTTGCCTGAACCCTGCCTGAATGGAGGCTAAGGCTTTGAGTGATGGGAAGTTGGAGGGAGATAGAAGAAAAAGCAGCCACTTAGAGTAGAAAATGAGTGAACTCAAAAAGTTGTTTAACAATGATGAGCATATTCTCCTTGAAAAGGAGCTGTCCTGAGGATTGAGATTTTGAAAATTGTTAATATTATAACTTAAAGTAAGACCAACAATTGAAATATTAAGCAGTATAAAAGGTACTCTTACCCAGATAAGGAAGTAGAGTGGCAGTTTGCTTTGTTTCAAGCTTGTCATGACTCTTATTTGCTAGATGCTGCATTCCTGGCCCGAGAGAAGGCGAAAGCAGATGCTGAGTATTATGCTGCGCACAAATACGCCACCTCAAACAAGGTGACTGCCTCGCATGCCTCTTCCCCAGTGACTGGTTTACATTCGCTTTTCTTGGGCTCTAATGCAATAGAAGTAATTGTAGTCAGTGTCAGAAAAAGGTAATGGCCAGCCCATCATCAACCAGTTATTTAGCATGACACATTTACCCATTGGTTGGGGGTGGGGAATTTATAAAAGTAACGAGCTGGAATAAAGATAAGCAGATGCATAAGCACAGGTCAAATGTCACAAAACTGTTCATTTGTACTGTAAGTAGGGGCTCTGAAAAGTTGAAGATCTTTTGAGAGAACGACAGGGAAAGAGGGAAACTCATTTAAGCTAGCTTTCCTAATAGGTAGCTTTTCAGGATAGAAACTGAACTTAGGGGACTGGAGAGATGGCTCAGCGGTTAAGAGCATTGCCTGCTCTTCCAAAGGTCCTGAGTTCAATTCCCAGCAACCACATGGTGGCTCACAACCATCTGTAATAAGGTCTGGTACCCTCTTCTGACCTGCAGGCATGCACACAGAAAGAATATTGTATACATAATAAATAAATATTTTTTTAAAAAAGAAACTGAACTTAGAAGAGGGTTTCCCATCAGAGACACACTTGCAGTTTGGGGGCGAGATACTTTTTCTTTTTTTTCCTAGTCAGTGTCATGTATTGTATATGTTGAACAGTGAGAAGCAGGGTCTTCCAGAGTGAGTCAGTTTGGTTGGTTTTAGGGTTGTTTTGTTGTTTTCATTCTTTTTTTTGCATCAAACAAGAACAATCTATTTCCAAGGAAGACAAAAACAGAAATCTTCAGTGAAGTAAAACAGAAGAAACAAGGTTTAAAATTCAACAGATGCAAGCCACTCCAAACACTCATCCTATTTAATTTCCTGGTACATGCACTGAGAACCCAAGATCATTAGGCCCCAGGACAGCAGTGCTTTGAGATTCTATCTCAGGTCTCCTCTTTGTGACAAATCATGCACACATACCCACACCCACGTCGACCCAGGCAGAAGTCACATGCATGCACAGGTGGCTAGAGAACTGCTGGGCAGGACGGGAGGAAGAGCTGGGCAAGCATACACCAGCACTTGTGTACTAGAGACCCAGATAACCCTTCTGTTGCAAGCTGAACAAGAATAAAGATGAAAAGAAAAGCAACACAGGAAAAAGGAGAATGTTCAGCCAAGAGGTTGGATAGATGAAGAGGGAAAGATGGAGGGGAATTTGGGTAAAGCAACCTCAAAGAGGGAGGTCTTTGGAACACAGATGAGCAGAGATTCTGTGACTCCAGTAACATACTAAGGCTGACAAAATATGCCACAGCATCACCTCAACATCCTGTGCCCTCTCCCAACAGAGGGAAACCACAAACACTCACCCTCTAGCCCTGCCCATTAACACTCTTAAGGACTTTCTCAGGTACCTAAAAAAAGAAGTGACACCTCTCCTCCCCCCCCTCACCTTAGCACATACTCAGGTCCAGTATAGGCCAAAGAGAACGCCTCAGTAACTCACAGCTGCCATCTCATCATCCTCCTCCTCCTCAAATGTCAAGTCCTCCTCAGCCCTCCTTTTCTTCTTTTGTTGCTCTTTCTTGTGTGTTTTGGACTTTTCCCCCTTTTGTCTAAGTTCCTCCATCCTTTTCTCAAAATCATAGTCTTTCCGCTTCTCTTCTATCTTGTTGACCAGAGAACGTTCTTCACCTGATCCACACACACAGTCATACCCAGGTTTTGTTGATGTCTCTTTCCATAACTGTGATCCAGGAAATTGATGGAGTACTTCACCACACAGCCCTAGGCATTGCATATTAGTAGCCTCCCATTTCAGAATGTGGGGTTGTCTTGGTAATGACAGTTGCCTTCCCAAGCTCAGACTTCAAGTTCACCTTGTAGTCCCTATGCCACAGAAGCTCCCATTTGAGTCGCAGCACTGGGTTTCCATCCTTTTTTCTCTCTCCTGTCATTCTCTTCTCCGAGAGCTTCTTATATTCATCTTTGCTCACTTTTCTGTCCTGCTGCCTAGCACCATCTTCCCAGTGAAGTACAAAATACTTTTCATGTTGAAGATGGTCTGGTGTATTATGGTACATTTGAATCCCTGGCCCTTCCTGCGTCGCACCTATAGTACTTGTTGTTTTAATGCCTTTTCATGTGATATTGAGATTGCTAAATAGATCCTGCAATTTGAAGGATAAAAATCAATTTAGAAAGGAAAGACATAAATTAGAAGAAATAATAGGTTGGTAGAATGTAAATTGTCAGAACTTTGGAAACCAGTATAAATTTAGAAACAGATATCAGAAGAAACAGAATGGAATTTTGTCAAGATAAAAGCAAGATGAGAAATTCATACCTCTAAGAGTTCAAATTGACAGTAGAAGAATTTGGCCAGAGAGAAGCATCAGGACCTTCTTACTGGGGTTGAAGAAATGGCTCAGTGTCCAAGAGTGCTTGCTGCTCTTCCAAGGGGCCCAGAGTTCAGTTTCCAACACCCATATTGGGTAACTCAGAATTTCAGCTCTGGAAAGTCAGACTCTTTTATCTTCTGTCCCTTACTACACTTGTGCACGCATAAACATACATATAAACAAAAATAAAGTGCCCTTTTTAAAAATAAAAGACTTGACTATTAAGATCAAACTTATCCTGAAAAGGGTCATCATTTTCTGCCGTTTTGAGAAATGCCACTCAGATCACTTGTAAAGGGCTTTAAGAAGTAATGTAGTTATACAGTATGACTAGATTTACATGCAGTGTTTTGGCATTAGATGTGAATCAGCTGGAAGGTGGAGATGCAGGGACTGAAAGATGTTAAAGTACAGAGTAAGTGCTCTGTCACTACAGAAGACAAGAAAGACTCAAGACATAGAGGGGGTTATTAGAATGGTCCTGGGGACATAGAGAGCATATATTCTGGGAACAATGAGTTTTAATGTAACTTAGTTGGCAGAGTGCCTGACTAGGGTGCTGAGTTCTAGATTTGGTCTCCCAATACCATATAAACCTGGGTGTGGTGACTCCCAGTAATCTGGTGGTAAAATCAGGAATACTAAAAGTTCAAGGTCATCCTTAGCTACAAACAAGTTTGAGGTCCTGTTTCAAAAATTAAATGTTGGTAGAAGCAGAATCTGGTGGTAAAATCAGGAATACTAAAAGTTCAAGGTCATCCTTAGCTACAAGTAAGTTTGAGGTCCTGTTTCAAAAATTAAATGTTGGTAGAAGCAGTTCTGGTGGTTGACAAACATCTGTCTTACCACAAATGATTTAAACAGCCAACTTCTGAATAAAGGCAAGATGCTAGATTAGGTGATTGCTTGACATATTCCAATTCTCAAATTTGGTCAAAAAAAATGAGTCACTAAAACATCTAGTTATACAATTGTGAACCTAGGCTTTTGCTTGGAAGCCCTAATACTGATCTGGTAACTTGGGTACCTCTTTCAAGAGAATCAGTAGAAGTACTGTCTCAGTTCTGATTGAAGAAAACTACATGAAATAGAAAATGCATGTAAAGCATTTAATAAACCACAAAAGAAATACATATTATTTAATCCCCAGTCTATTTTTAAAAGCATACAGCTTAACCTGCCTTAAGATGGAAGCTTGTTAAAGGAATTTTAGTTAAGGACTTAGCTGTTAGGAGGATAGCACACTCCACAGTGAAATAGGATCACTGGCAAACATTCCAGGTTGGATCATGTTACTCAGCAGAGCAGCTGGAGAAATGGTGTTAGAGAGAAGAGATGGCTATCGCACCAAACTATTCTAATTCCTTTGATCTTGTTTGCCCCACACAGCACAAACTGACCCCGGAATATCTGGAACTCAAGAAGTATCAGGCCATTGCTTCTAACAGTAAGATCTACTTTGGCAGCAACATCCCTAACATGTTCGTGGACTCCTCTTGTGCTTTGAAATATTCCGATGTTAGGACTGGAAAAGAAGGCTCCCTTCCCCCTGAGGAAACTCTTGAACCCTCTGGAGAGAGCCCCGTCCAAAACAAGGAGAACACAGGTTGATGCAAGAGGTAGAAATGCTCTCCCATATCAAAGTGTGACCCAAGGGGCTAAGTGGGAACAGTGGTTATATGGACTTTACAGATTCACAGAGAATTTGTGCTCTGTTGTGACTCTCTTGTCATAGTCCTGGTTTGCCAGCTCGCTGCAGGATAGGGCCAGCTGTCTGGCACTCAAATGGTCTTTTCAGCCACAGTTTTATCAAGTATCCTGTCTGTGTTCCTCTGTAAACCGGTACTCATGAGTGAGGGAAAGTGACGCTTAGATACTGCCTGCACTGGAATGTCAAACACTATATAACAAGCTGTGTTTTTTTTCAAAGCTGAGGTCTATTGAATAATGTTTACATTGGTCCCTGGGGACGTGTGCTTAAACATTCAAGAGCTAGGAGGCCAGAGAAAAGACCACCAGAAAATGGTAAGTTAAAGAAGACTGATGACATTTGGGGCCCAGGCTCTTTTTAAAGTCCAGTCCCAGCATTCCTCCATGTGATTAACAGCCAGGCCTCTGGATTCCTAGGAAATGATCTTCCAGTTGAGCAACCATTTACTTGATACAAAGTGTACCGTTCTGTTTTCCTACAGTCAGGTTGGTGGCCTGCAGGGACATGCACTTTGCCACCCAACCAGAGGATTCTTACAGAGATTCCTGATCACTAGTTTATTTCATTAGTAAACTCAGAGATAGAGAAAGCAGCTGAAATTTAAGGGAGACAAAACCTGCACTGCACCAAAACTGTGGGACCCTGTGTTTCCTCCATTGGGTGATGATGTCTACATCACTGCTCTGGCCCAAGTGCGATGAAAGTGCCTGGTTTTAGCCACAGACAACTGCTTAGAGGTCACCTCGTGACTCTCCTAAGCTGGGACAAGGCTTTAACCAGACATAAGAGCAGTGTGCAATTCCTAATTTGCTGCACAGTATTATGTCATAATTGCAGGAAGTTTGTATTTTAAAACTGGATTTGGGGTACATTCATTTGCCCCAGCACTCCTTTCTAAAGGCCAAGATTTTATGGATGCCGTGGTTGTTAACACACTGATTCTCCTTAAAGTAGCTCACCAAGTGTGAAACCAAAAGTAACCTAGAAAGCATCCTTGGTCATCTTTGTTTCCTTCCCCTTTGACCCTGTGATGTTGATATCAAAGTTGCTTTTCCAGCTTTCACTCTAGGAGATCAGAATTCCATTGACTTCTGGGCAGCCATTGAATTTATTTTCCATGAGAAAATGACAAAGTTAACCTGTAACTATAGGAGATCTACTTCATCCAGACCTCTTTTCCCCATCACATTAACTTTCCTGGAACTTTATGCTGCACAGGTAGACCTGAGTCTGCCAAGCCTGTTGACAGCTCTTGTGTATACTGTGTTGAAGCCAGGCAGAAGTGTAATGGACCCACTTCCTGAAACCTCTCAGCTGGTTATCTCGTAACAACTGAAAGGTTGTGCCAAACATTTTATTGGAAAAGGAAAGCCCAGGTTTGAATGGGTCTTTCCCCTAGGCCTTATAGTATAGAGGCATTTGTAATATGGAAAAAATAATCCTTCTCATTTAATTATATTAATTACCCTTAAATGAATTTTGTGTTCTTGAACCCTCATTACAAAAATTTTTGAACTATATAAATATACCTGTCATATTGTTGCTGCAGATAAATAATGATTGTGGGATATCTGGATCATTGAGCTTTGTGCTTTCATTTCTAGAGATGTTTTCTATTCCCATTAGTGAAATGCTGTTGCCCCAAAGTGATGGCTGTAGGTGTCTTAGCGGCCACAGGTCATGTTGGCCGGGTTGAGGAACAGGGAAGTGCCATTGTGAAAGATTAAAGAAAGCACTTCCACTTGAGCTCCCTATGGAGTGAACTTCCCTGTGCCCACTCAGTGAACTAAGTCTGGCCATCCTTCAGGGATGTTCCTTTTGGTAAATATACACTGTAATCTTTAAGTCTAAATTTATATGTGAAAGCTACGTTTTTAAAAATAAGAATCTAAATAAAATTATTTTCCTATCAGTGACTGTGTGTGTATATTGTGTTTTCCCCATATGACTTAATGCTTTTCTGTTTTTTTTTTTTAAACGTGTTTCTAAGGCTGACTTGCCCTTCTCAACTATAGAGCAAGTTTGTTTGCTGATTTAGCTTAACTGTAGAGGTTTATACTTTTCCCAAAATAATGCCTACCAAGTAAAATTTAATAATATTTCCACTTTTTCTTGGATCCTAGAATTTGATAAACATTGCTATTGTTTGTGGGATAAGTCAGGAGCAGGGCATTGAAGAAGGAACAGTCATTGTGCCCCTTAGAGCCCATACTAGAAGGAAAACAGTTTTACATTAAAGGGGGGGCAGCTTGTGTACACTGTACACAACTAACTTAATTAGTTCAGAGGTTACCAGAGTCCGGGTTGGACCTAGATTCTCTCCCAGGGAGCATTGCTGGTGCAGACAGTTGTAACAGTGCTTTTGGACTAACAGAGAATAGTTGGGAGATCCTGGGAGAGAGTCTCCTCTGCTTCTGGAATTCACCTCCGTAGTCTCCCACATTAGCTGCCACAAACCAAGAAGCTGCAACTACCAATTTGAACTTGTTATCCTATAAGCTTTGGCATTAAGGTGAATTCTTCCCACTTCAATAAGAAAATGTGAATTAACAGTTGTGAGTTCTACTTGCTTTTAAATGATTAGACACAGTGCCAGTATATGCAGGTGAGGAGCTTTATAATCTGGCCCTGCTGGCCTTTCCGGAAATGCCACTCACTTCTAAGGTCCGTGAATATGCCTTCACTCTATTTCCCTTTGTTCTGTCCTGGTTTTCTTTTCCTCTCTGGTGGTACCTGCTCTGCTTTGCTCACTCCTAATGATTCTTCATTGTTTCAGAGAGTTCACCCTGAACTGTGTGCTCAGAGTTAGCGTTTTTCATTTAACCTGCATAAGCATGCATCCTGCCTCATGACCTGCTTTAGAGTCTATTATGACATAAGAACCCAGGCTTTCTGAGGGCAGTGACTATGACTCTGTTGTTGCCTGGGGGTTGTATCTATTGCTAACCCCTGAGATGTGCTTGATCCTTGAGACTTGATCAGTTTTGTTGTGTAAAAAAACAAAAGGTGAATGTGAAGTGCAGCAAAACACAGTCAAATAAGTAGTTGTAACAAAAGGACTTAAAAGCTGGGCCAAGTTCATGCGAATGGAGACTTAGGAAATAATCATGGGAAATTACCAGCTATTTCTAAACTGTTTTGTAAAAGGAGTGGCGGACTGCGTTCCTGCCCAGATCCCGGCTAGCTTATCCCTGAAATAATTACACAGAAACTATATTCATTTAAGCACTGCCTGGCCCGTTATCTCCAGCCTCTTATTGGCTAACTCTCACATCTTGACTAACCCATATCTAATAATCTGTATGCCACCACGAGGTCATGGCTTACCAGGAGGATTCTAACCCACGTCCATCTTGGGCAGGAGGAACATGGCGTTTGCCTGCCTCTGCTTTCTTTCTCCCACAATTCTGTTCTGTCTTCCCTGCCTACCTATATTCTGACCTATCAGGCCAAACAGTTTTCTTTATTAATTAACCAATGAAAGCAACAGATAGATAGTAGATCCTCCTACATCACTATTTACTCATCTTTGCAGGGCAGCTCTTTAGCAAAGTAAGTTACTGTACCTAGTATAGTAATTTCCATATGACAACTGCTAGGGTATGTTAGCTTATCTAATCTATAGAAAGCAGTATGTCTCTGAGTAGACCAGAAATGCCCACAGTAGAGAAGAGCACAGTACCTGGCAAGTGTGAGTGTGAAATGAACCACATTGATATTTATCTTCAGGAGCTGTGGTGTAAGATAACTAGTTTTAACTATCAACCAGCCTGGATGGATGGCTCAGCCATTAAAGGCTAGGCTCACAACCAAAAATATAAGTATCAGTCACAACCTTCAGGAACATTCCAATAACTCAGAGCAGTGTCTTAGCTTTCTCTTGATCTATTGTCTTTGTGTAAGCATTTGTAGTGGCATTTTATTTGTATTTTAATAAATGAAACTTGCCTGAAGATCAGAGAGTAAAACAACCCCACGTTGGTTGCCATTTTGTAAACAGAGACTGTGCTTTAGTTTCCCAGGATTCCAGACCTGAACTGTATTAATTAAAACAAGTGTATTCCTAGCTAGCTCTTGTATCTTAAGTTAACCCATTTCTATTATTTTATATTTTACCACGAGGCTTTTGTTTTGTTATTTCTTGCTTCTTTGGAGGCTACATGGCATCTGCCTGACTCCACCTTCTTTTCTATCTTTGCTTAGATTTCCTGCCTTTCTCTATTCTGCCCTGCCATAAGCCAAAACAGCTTCTTTATTAACCAGTGGCAATAAAACATATTCACAGCATACAGAGGAGAATCCCACATCAAGCATTGACAACAAGCTCAATTTCTCATTCCTAGTCTTTTATTACATGGACCATAACTCATAATGACACTTTACTTGTTTTTTCTTGCTGTGAACTATGGTTTGAATATGGTCTTCAAAAAGTTTGTGTTAAGAACAGCCTCCAATCTTTCCACGAGATCTTGTCTGTTTCCTCTTTCCAGAGGGATCCATGTATGTCTCTCTTAGGGTTCTCTTTATTACGTAGCTTCTCTGGGATCGTGAACTATAGGCTGGTTATCCTTTAATTTAAGTCTAATATCCACTTATGAGTAAGTATGTATCATGTTTGTCTATCTGGGTCTGGGTTATGTCACTCATGTTTTTTTTTTCTAGTTCAATCCATCTGCATGCAAATTTCAAGGTATCATTTTTTACCAATGAGTAGTACTTCGTTGTGTAAATGTAACACATTTTCTATATTCATTCTTTAGTTGAGGTACACCTAGGTTGTTTCCATGTTCTGGCTATTACAAATAATGCTGCTATGAACACAGTTGAGAAAATATCCTTGTATGAGTGTGCATCCTTTGGGTTCATGCCAGGGAGTATGTTGCAGGGATAGAAAGGGAGGGGAGAAGGGGAAAGAGGAGGAGAACATATGGGAATGGGATGCTCAAGAAGGGAAAGGACAGTGAGGGAAAGCAAGGAAAGAGATACCTTGATCGAGGGAGTCATCAGAGGACTAACGAGATACATGGCACTAGGGAAATTCCAAGTAATCCACAAAGATGACCCCAGCTAAGACTAAGCAACAGTGGAGTGGATGCCTAAACTGGCTTTCCCCTGTAATCAAATTGATGACTACCTTAATTGTCATCATAGAACCTCCATCCAGCAACTGATGGAAGCGATACAGAGAGATCTCTGTATCTACAGTGAAACATTGGGCCAAGCTTCTGGAGACCAGCCCAAGAGAGGGAGGAGCGATAACAGGAGCAAGACCATGATGGTGATACCCACAGAAACAGCTGACCTGAGCTAGTGAGAGTTTACTGTCTCTGGACTGATAGCAGGGGAGCCTGCATGGAACCTAACTAGGCCCATTGAATGTAGGGAACAGTTGTGAGGCTTGAGCAGTCTGGGGCCACTGGTAGTGGGACCAGGATTTATCCCTAGTGCTTGAACTGGTGTCTTGGAGCTTTCTCTTTGGAGGGATTCTTCACTCAACCTAGATATGGGGGGGAAGACCTTGGTCTTGCCTCGAAGTGAAGTGTCAGACTTCGTTGACTCTCTGTGGGAAGCCGTACTTACCCTTTCTGAGGAGTAGATGGTGGGGTGGTGGGGAAAGAGGGGGCTGGAGAAAGGGAGGAACTAGGAATGGGGATAGCTATGTAAAATGAGAAAAAAATCTTAGAGAGAGAGAGAAAGACAGAGAGAGAGAGAGAGAGAGAACAGCCTTCAGTCACCAGTGTTGAGAGAGAGAGCCCAGAGAGGATACTAAGTAATGGGTATAATGAATGAATTAAGATCTTTATGGCAAGAAAGAATTCCTTTTTTTTTGTCCCCATGTGTATGCTGCCTCCCTCCCTCCTTCCCTTTTCCCCTCTCACCCTCTTGTTTCTTACATTCTGCTTTTTGCTATGAGATGATAGATATAGTGAGAAGGTATTCACCAGGCATTGTCCTCAATTTTAGATTTCCAGCCTCCAGAATAGTCAGAGATTTCTACCTGTCAGAAATTACCCAGTGTACAACATTCTTTTAGAGCAGCGCAAGATCAACAACTAGAAGAAGTTGGTTCCAGAAGAGTAGGGCGTTCCTGTAATAAGCATCTGAAAATGTGGACATAGTTTTAGAATTGAGTAATTAGAAGAGGCATTTGGAGAGGCAGGCTAGAAACAGCCTGGGTTGCTGTAAGCAGAGTGTTAGAGGAAGTTGTCATGAGGGCTTAGCAAGGAGAGCTGTAGGGAAAGTGAATTTTAAGATACCACAAATGGGATGCCCAAGACTGTTCTGAGGAAGCAGAAATAGAAACTAAGTGTTGAGAACTGGAGTAAAGGTTATCATTGTTCCAAGCTGAAAAGAAGGTCATTATGTATGTGACAAGGCGTTCTACAGGATGAATCTTAAGATTGTTCTCAAGATACCTAGTGGAAGAAATCTCCTTTCTTTGTTATACAGGGGACTGAACCCAGACCCTAGCACATGTGAGTAAATACTCTAGCAGTAACTATTCCCCACCCTATTTGAGGACATACGGTCTATTGTCTTGAAGCAGCTGCATGACTTCTTTTAGCTGTAGATGGCAAAATACAAGGGGGAAAATGATATAGAAATGGGATGTTAAAAGAAAACAGAACTTAAGGATTTGAAGAATCCTTAGCCTAGCATCTGTAAAGAATGACAACAGAAAAACCAGTGTTTGCTGAAGCACTGGTAGAAGTTCAGCTCACTTCTTAGTCTCTTACCAAGAGCCAATTAATTTATATTGGTTGTAAATTACCCAGTTTCAGATACTGTTACAGCACAAAAGGGAATATGATAACCATATATTATCTCTTTGCCATTGTTTTTTAATTAATTTTTTACTTATTTCTGTTTTTTAATGTTGAAAAATGCATTCTCACATAAGTATTAGGTACCTACTGTGCTGCTAAAGCAACAAAAATAGGCATGTAACTTTGGACGTGGGGCAGGTGTGTCAAGTAAAGAGGTACAAGAATAATAGTGGTGAGTTGCATGTCAAGATCGGTGAAGATCAATAGAATCTGGTGGTTTCTAGGAATCAATGTGTGATTTGAGCCATTACAAAGGATGTATGGAAGGCAGCCAGCTGAAAATGGTGATTGAAGCAGTGGGAAAGTAATGTGTTACATTTTAAAATGCAATTTCCTAGACTCTTGCCTCATTAGTACCAGGAAGCATGAGGTCCCTCTCTCTGCAAGTCCCTGTCAGTAACAGTATCTCTTTACTGGCACAGGTCCCCATCTGCAGGTATTCTCCTTGATTCCTCACAACCTTGAGGTTCTGCTATCATCTTACAGCTGGGATTCAGAAAGGGTCACTTGACCCAAAAAACATGTGAATAACAAGTAGCCAAGTAAGTTCAGTGATGGTGTACACCTTTAATCCCAGCACTCGGGAAACAGAGGCAGGCAGATCTCTATGTGTCTGAGGCCAGCCTGGTGTACAGAATGAGTTCCAGGACAGCCAGGGTTACACAGAGAAGCTTTGTTTCAAAAAATAAACAAAACCAAGTAGCAAAGTAAAGCTTTGAGCTATACCATAGATCCAGGTCTTTACTCCTTAACCTTGTTCATTGGAGCAATTAGGACAGTGGACGCTCAGTTTAGGGGCAATTTCAGAGGGCGTATAGTCTAAAATAGGCCAGGAAAAAGGATGAGCAGTTATTTAACTTGTTAAGTTGTGGCCTATGGGTTGGCTTTCTCTGCCCTTCATAGGGCCAGAAAGAAGTGCTCTCTCCAGAGGAGCTGGTCAAAATAATAGCTGACTGCAGAAACTCGAGCCTTTTGGAGCCTGGACAAGCAGCACTCTTCCATTATATGGATCAAATGAACCTGAATAGCATAAAAACAGACCTGGTATACTGTGGCATACCTAATCTGTATTTAGGTAGGTGGCCCTCCTGCTCCCAGTATCATAATGTTACCTTGACTGAAAAATTCCCCTGCCAGATCATACCCCTCACTGAAAACAGCCTACACACAGTAAGTGTTTGGTGCATGAATAGAGAGACTGAAAGAATTGTTTGAACCAGTTTGCCCTCCAGATTTCTTCATTTGCTCATCAGCCAGGATTTGCATCTTATTAGCTATATTAAGCTGAATTGGAGTTCAGGCATACAAGGAAAATTCAGACAAACTACATATTGATTACCCCTTATAGTGGTATATTTTTTTTATTTTAATAAATCTTGCCCAAAAGCCAGAGGCAATGCTAAAACCACTAGAGGTCAGGTAATGGTGACACACACCTTTAATCCCAGAATTTGGGAGACAGAGGCAAAAGGATCTCTGTGAGTTCAAGGCCACCCTGAGCTACACAAGATCAGAATTTGCAGAAACAAATTCAGGTAGTAGTGGGCTACAATTTTAGTCCCAGCCATAGGGAGACATATGCCTTTACTCCCAGCACTAGAGGGAATATAAAATGGGAGAAAAGAGAAGTTTAGTCTGCTTAGTCTACAGTAGCCCAACCTTGGTAGAGGTAAGACTTCTCAAGTGGCTTGGCCGCTTTGCTTTTCTGGTTTTCAGATTGAACTCAATTTCTGACTCTGGGTTTTTATTATTTGTGCTACATTTGACACCCAATGTTTGGGGTATGAATTCACAAAAAAGTCATTTGCCTAAAAGAAGTCCCCCCCCACATTAAAAAATGGGGAAAACCATGAAAATGGAGGGATTTGGGTCTCTGTATGATGATATGCTAGACAGTTTGAAAATGGAACAATTAAATGAGGGGATATCTAATTTAGATGGGATTTATGTAATGTCAAATGTAAACATTGTCAGCATTTTGATTTTTGTCTTACCACTAAAAATGTTGACGAATCTGAGTGCTAAGATACAGGCCTTAGAATAAAATTAATAAAGTGAGTCACAGACAGATTCAAACCCAGACATAAGAATTTAATGGGGAGCCAATTTCAGCACTGAATTATAAGAATAGAGAGGAACAGCCTAAAGTTTTCAGACAACCAACCTTAATATGTCCAGTAACCTTATAGGACTTACCAAATGGCAGAGGCTCTATTACTGCTGACTGGACTCCTGTGCCATTGTTAGATTTAAAGAGATTCAAGGAAGCAATAGTCTCATATGACTTGCATTTATCTTTTGTGAAGAAAATGTTAAATTCATGGTCAGTTTGAAATAGAATTATCCCTAACCGCTGGAAAGATTTGGATAATGGAGTTTTAGAGTCTGGTATACAATTACAATAGAGTATCTGGTTCAGAGAAGAGGCTAAGATTATTGAACAGTGAACTAAAGCTAGATGTAGGAGAATATCCCAAGATCAAATTCTTGAAGAAGGAGATTGCGCTACTATAGAAAGGCAGGCTGTATATGATGACCACACCCTGCATTTATGCTGCACAGCAGCTTTGAATGCTTGGGACAGAATTGGAGAATTGGAAAAGAAAATTGAGTCATTTACTAACATTATGCAGAGGCCAAATAAAGATTTTAATCTTTTTCTTACAAAGATTGACTTCAGCAGTAAATAGAATGATACCAAATTCAGAAGCTAGACAAATTATAATTGAATCTCTGGCTTTTGAGAATGCTAATTCTCTATGCAAAAGGGTAATTAAGCTGTTAAAGGCAAGGTCAGCACCTTTGGAGGAATGGATATGAGACACAATTAATATAGAATCTCTTGAACATGATGAGACATGGATAAGAGAGGTGATTTCCAGAGGTTTGAGGAAAAATCAAAATGTCAAATGTTATTATTGTAGCAAACAAGGTCACTTTAAAAGGGATTGTAAGCTGGAGAGACGGCTCGGGGGTAGAGCGCCCAACCGCTCCGCCCAAGGACCTGAGTTCGATTCCCGGCCCAGCACCGCAAGTAGTTCCATTACCATCTGTCAGCACCTCCCGGTGGCCTGCAGAACGACCCACACACAATCTTCTATCGTCCACCATAGATCCGCATAGAGTAGTAGGCAAAAATAAAATAAAATAAAAGGGATTGTAGGCAGGGCATTCCTAGAAACAATGTTTTTTTCTAAGAATAATCCATTCAGAATGCCCCTCCCTTCTGGATTATGTGGAAGGTGTGGCAAAGGCAGGCATTGGACTAATGAATGTAGTTTAACATGGAATATTGTAATCTTTGCCTTCAGGAAACTCCTTGAGGGGGGCCTCTTGCAAGCCCCTATGCCAAATCTGGTTTAGTTGTTTCCTGCCTCAATAAAGAAACTCCTTCCCAGGGCAATTAAAGAACCTAATACTTATTGTAAGAAACCATACTGCTCTGGATAATAGAACATTTATAAAAGGGAGAACAAAAAATTCAGGAGAAACCATAAACTTGAGTATTTTGGCAAACTTCAATAAATGAACAAAGACCAAAATTAAAAATACGAGTAAATGGTGTTGTCATTGAAGGTCTGGTATGAATGTAACAATAATTTCATCAGAATCTTGGCATCCAAATTGGCCTCTTTAGAATGTAAATGTTTAGTTTTTAGGGATTGAAACTTCATCTCAGGTAAAATGTAATGAGAGATGGATTGAATGTATAGGGCCAGAAGGACAGAGAGGAATATGAAAACCATATGTTGCTAACATAGCAATGAATTTGTTAGGACATGATTTGTTACAGCAATGGAATACTCAGATTAATATCCCCCCCCCCAATCTTAGAAACAAACCATGAATTAATGTATGTTTCTGGGGAAAATATTAGGTTTTATAAAGAACAGTCACCAACCATTCAGATTGTACAAGAACAGGGCACAGCACCTACTGATATTTCAAAGACACCAACAGCCCTACCTTTAAAATGGTTGACAGATGAACCTGTATTGGTTGCATAAGGGTCTTTAACAACAGAAAAACTATAGGACTTAAAACACTTCATACAGGAGCAACTAGATGCTCAGCATATTGAAGAATAAACCAGCCCTTGGAATTCTCCTATATTTGTTGTTAAAAAGAAATCTGAAAAATGGAGAATGGTAATGAAGAGCTGTTAATAAGGTGTTTCAGCCAATAGACTCTCCACAGTCTGGCATTCCTTTGCCTTCTATATTATCTAAAGGGTGGCCTCTTATAGTTAGTGATTTAAAAGATTTTTTCTTCACTTTATCTTTACAAGAAAAAGACAGAGAAAAATTTACCTTCACAGTGCCTACTTATAATAATTCTCAGCCTGCTAAAATACATCAATAGAAGGTTCTGCCACAGGGAATTCCAAATAGCCTCACCCTATGCCAATATTTTGCATGGCAGTCATTAGAAATGATGCATAAGCAATTTCCTTAATCTATAGTTTACCATTACATGGATGACATTTTGCTATCTTATTCAAATGTAGATACTTTAGAAAGAATTTTTAAGAAGTAAAGAAAATTTGCCTTGTTGGGGATTGCAAATTGCTCCTGAAAAAATTCAAAGAGGAGATTCTATTAATTATTTAGACTATGAAATAGGTTTACAAAAAAATTAGACCCCCAAAA